AGAGCTGGCAGTAAACCCTAAGTCCTGCTGCATGTGGTCCCCAAATAACATGCACAATATTCCATTTCTCTATTTGTCCATTGATTGATAGATGGGCACTTAGCTATCCTGGCTGTTTTAAACAATGCTGAAGGTAAGCATGGAGTGTGGGAAGGTGCATTTTTAGTGTTTTAAGTTAGTGTTTTGTTTTTGTATTTTTGGTATACCTATCAGTGCTTGCAGGCTACTCTTGGCTCTAGCTCCGAGTAACATGCAGTGCCAGGAATCGAGCCCTGGCCTCCTGAAGGCAAACATATGTCTAGCTCATTGATACATCTCACCAATCTATCAAAAAAAAAAAAATTGGAGTGAAACTGCTAGCTCATAGAGTTCTACTTTGAGGACCCTCCATACGTCTCTAGGGGCTGCACCAGTTTCCAATCCTTCAGTGCATGGAGAGTCCCTTTGCTCTGCATTCTTCACAGCATGGTTGTTTTTATTTTTTGGTTTGGAGGCCACACCCAGTGGGTGCTCAATGATTCCTGGCTCTGCACTCAGGAATTACTCAGGGGACCATATGGGATGCCGGGGATCAATCCAGGTCAGCTGCGTGCAAGGCAAAGGCCCTACCTGCTGTGCTCTTTCTAGCCATCAGCCTGCTCTTTTGATGATTGCCATTCTGAGAGGCACAAGGTAATAGATCTCATTGTGGGTTTTAATTTGCATTTTTCCTTAGTGATATTGAACATCTTGTATCTGTTGGCTATTATTTCCCTACTTGGAAATGTCTATTGAAATCTGCTCATTTTATAATTATTTTGCTGTTACATGTTTAACTCCTTATGTATTTGCAAGTGTTTTATCCCATTCAGTAGCTTATTGTGCATAAACTTTAATTGATGTATGTTCACTTGTTTCCATTTGCTTTTGTTGCCTGTCTTTTGGTGTCAGATCCAGAGAATTACTAATGTCAACTGACCACCTGTTTTTTTTTCAAGGTATGTCTTATAAGATCTTTTTTTTTTTTTAGACTTATAAATTTTTGTGCTTGGGTTTCAGTTATACAATGATCAAGTACCCATCCCTCCACCAGTGCCCATTTATAAGATCTTTAAGCCATCTTAATACATTAGTAACAACAGATACAAGTCTTTAATCCATTCCTTTTGTGTATGGTATAATTTAGTGGCCAGGTTAGATATTGTTCATGTGGCAGCCCAGTTCTCCCAACACCATTTATCATATGGTCTGTCCCTCCAGTGTATATTTTTAGCTTTTCATAAGTAGATTTACTGTATAAAGGAAAGGCTTCTGTTCCATTGTTCTGTGTATCTGCTTTTTGTACCATTACATCGGTTTCCTTATGATAGTTTGTGATAATTTAAAATCAGGGGTGGTGTTGCCTCCAGGTTTTTCCATCTTCTGGAGGCTAGTTTTGTTCGGTAGTGGTGGCGGTGCTTTCCAGAGTCCTGGATCACCCTGGCAGCATCCATCAGTGCCCGAGAGGCCGAGTATGTTTGGAGAACTTTGTATGATAAAAATGTGGTCCAATCTTTTTGTGTTACCACCTCAGCTTTCAGCCTTATTTCCACCCCAACCCCACACCCCTGTGCTGGGAATTGAAATTAGAACCTCACACACAAAAGGCAAGTACATACCACTGGCCTACCTCTATAGCCTGGGAGGTGAATGTTTTTAAAGATAACTTGAGTTTAATTTTTTTTTAATCACATTCAGATTTGTGTAGAATTATTAGAATATGGCTTAATACCAGTTTCAACATGGTTTCAGCTTGTCTAGATTTTGAATTTAGTAGATCCTTCTATAAACTACAGCTATGGCCATTTTGTATTCCTTTAGTTTATGTGCGTATCTGTGCGCGCGCACGTGTGTATTTTTTGGGGGGGGGGGCCACACCTAGCAGTACTCAGGACTTTATCCTGGCTCTGTGAGGAGTAAGCTAGCTCAGGGGACCATATGGGTTGTTAGGAATTGAGTCTGGGTCAGCCATGTGCAAGGCAAGTACTGTACCTGCTGTACTATCACCCCACCCCTATACCCTTTTTCTTAATGACACAATCCTCTCTGCTCTGCCCTTCTCCTTCCTTGTAGATTCCATTTTTTATTGTGAAGTCTCTTCTCAATGCAGATAAATTTTCATATGCTTTTAGCCCCTTCACTAAACCCAGTTTATGTCTTAACAGTGGCTCATCCCTTCCCTTCCTGTTTTTTAGAGAGGATAGTTTATTCTCCAGCATCCCACATTACACAGTAATGCATATATGAAGCTATAGTTAGAAAGTCATATTAGACTTAAGGGCATAGAAAAGACACATTCCACCCTTTCTGTCCCCCCCCCCCCCATCCCAATCTTGTTTTCTAGAGTCCACTGCTGTCAAATCCTATTTGATCCTTAGATTTACCTTCCACATTTCTAAATGATATATTATTCCTTTCTAATCTTAGTCTGGTTACTTTCCTTTTAAGTCAGTTGAAAATTCAGCACACCAACACTTCATTATGTAACATTTTCCCACCTCCTCACACAAGTTATTTTGCAGTTCTAAGTAACTTTCAAATGTGTGGATTAATATAATGTCTTGGGGGCAGCAGAAAGCTCAAGGGGCTGGAGCAAATGTTTTTTTGCACACTAGTGTCCAGGATCCTGGGCACTGTTTGGTCTCCCAAGCACCACCAGGACTGATCCCTTTCCACAGCGATCACTTTGCAACATCCTCCACTTGCTGATTTCCCACTTCATTTGCTTTGCTTTTCAAAAATATGTTGGCATCTTTTTCTTGCCATACCCAGTAGTACTTGGGGCATACTTCTGCCTCTACACTGAGGGATCCAACCCATGTGCAAGTCAAGCATCTTACCTAACCCTGTACTCTCTCTCTTGCCCTGAACTTTTTTTTTTTGGTCTATCCTGGACCCACAACTAGTGGCTTGCTTCTCAAATCCAGGTCAGATACATGCAGGTGTTACTCAGTATGCTCTCTTTGACCCCTGGGGCTTTTCTTAACTCTTTCCTGTTCCTTGACCTTGGTTAAGCAAGCCTGTTCTTCCCCCTGGCAAATTCACTCATTCTTTTTGGTTATTCCTGTTAATTTTTAGCTTGGGAAAAAGCTGACAGGAAAAACTTCCGAACATTAGCTCACATTAGATTTAAATTGGACCATGCCCATTGATGCTGGATTCAGTCCCCAGCACCATGGGATCATGGTATTGGGGATTGAATTAAGGGCTCTCACATGCAAAGCATAAGCTTCCAATCATTCGAGCTACCTCCCAGGCCCCGTAAAACATCAAAATATTTTGAGAGACATTAGAAAGTATATGTATTGAGGGGATAGGGACTAACTCAAGGCCTCAAACATACAATGCAATTAATTGCTCTACCATTGATACATACCCCATCTCTAAAGCATTATTTTTAACAGTTATGTATTACGATACTTAGCACAAAATGAAAGTTTATATCTATTACGGTAATAGATATAGATATAATTATTATATTGCTAGAGTGATAGCACAGCAGGTAGGGTGTTTGTCTTGCATGTGGCCGATCTGGGTTCGATTCCTCTGTCCCTCTGGGAGAGCCCAGTAAGCTGCAGAGAGCATCCCACCCGCACAGCAGAGCCTGACAAGCTCCCCTTGGCATATTTGATATGCCAAAAACTTAGTAACAACAAGTCTCACAATAGAGACGTTACCGGTGCCTGCTTGAGCAAATTGATAAAACAGCAGGAGGAGGGCGCTACAGTGCAGTGCTATGGTAATACCTATAATGTTTCTGGACTAATCTTCCAAACCTTTTTTCTGTATTACACTCCATATGATACCCACTTGTATAATAATTTTAGAAAAACTATTGTTTAGAAACAATACAGTTCACAATTTGCTTATTCAAGACTGAACTGTGGAAATCCTTCCTTCTAGATCTACTGTATTTCTTTCCAGAGTTTATGTTTTAGCATCATCCTATACAGTTCCTTCTGTTCACCTGTATTCTTGCCACAGTATATTGTAGATGAGTCTTGCCTCATCATGCGCCAAGCTTGGTTGCTCTTAACAAGTCTTAACAAGTGGCAGGAAACCACTGCCAGAAAAGCAGATTCAGCTGCTTTTCTCCAGTACAACCAGATCCCACCCATCATACTTCTTACTTCCCTGGGTCTCTGTCAAAGTTCATAATGTTCAGCCTATATTAGTCTGCATGCTTCTGCTCTCCCTTCCTCCCCTTCCCCAGTGCCCCATCATTCTGTCGATCAGTCAAGTACACTAATCAAGAACTATGCTGAAGTAACACTCTTGGCCTTCACCAAATCTTCCTCTCCATGAAGTTCTCATCCCCAAGGGCTTTTCCTCCAATTTCACCAGAAATAGTATAGTGTACCCCCTACGCTCCCTTTTAAGGGACCCCGAGTAGTGCTCCTGAGGAAGCTTTCTGGCCCCACCCATTGACACTTGGGTTAGCCAAGCAGGGATTTGTGGTGCCAGCGATTGAACTCAGGCTGGATGCATGCTAGGCACACTTGCATTGTCCCTGGATCAGGTGAATGTATTCTTGCTCATGTCAAGCGCAGCCTATTTCCTTCTCAACTGCAACCACTATGCTCTTTTGAAACACATACTCTCTGCATGTACACTCCTTATTTTCTTCATCCTGTCCTCTACCAACTAATAGATTCATAAAGTATAAAACCTCATGTTTCAGCCACCATGGGAAAAAGGTACACATACATGGTTATATTTAATGTTTAACCCTGTCTCACCCACCTCTGATGTCAAGCCCAGAGTTTTCTGAATTGAAGTGGTTTATCTGGGTTTTTTTTGGTCCTCAGGTACTGTTGGTTACTATTTTTGTTGACCTACAGCAACATACTTAAGGAAATGGCTTACTGCTGCAGCAAGGCTTGTTAATTGCTTTAGTTCAAGTTTAAGAATATGTGGCCTTAAATTTTTAGTTTATAGATTTTAAAGAAAATTTTTATTAAAAATTATTTCATTAACTATTATGGAATAAGTAGATAAGACATTTGGAAATTAATCTTCTGGTTTAGTTTACTGATTCAGCCCTCAAAACACTCCTTCAGAAACTTTTCTCAGGAAGTCATAAGAAGTGATTTTTACTGAACTGAAAGGAAGCCAGATGAAGCTGAGCTCGGAAGCGCTCAGCTTCCAATTCCCGGAAGAAAGCATCGTCGTCATTCTCTGTTATCATGTGTTGCAGTTGCTGAATTTCCTTCTCCATCTTAGATCTCAGCTCTCTCTTCACCTTACATAATGTCTGAAAAGAGAATTCATGTCATTCTGCTATTCACTACATTTACTTAATTCCTCATCTATTTTTAAGTCACTTCTCACCTACAAGCTCATCAAGCTCCTGCAGTAATTTAGCAGCAGCTGATATGAACAGGTAAAGAAAATCATAGAATAAATATTTTCGATCACAGATCATAGTAACATTCTATTTCCCTTAAAATGTGTAACACTTGTTTTCTATTTGGAAAAAAAAATCAAATGGCTCAAATCTTTTATTACCTTGGGGCTGGAGCGATAGCACAGCGGGTAGGGCGTTTGCCTTGCATATGGTCGACCGGGGTTCAATTCCCAGCATCTCATATAGTTCCCCCGAGCACAGTCAGGAGTAACCCCTGTGCATCTCCAGGTGAGACCCAAAATAAAAAAAAAAAAATCTTTTATTACCTGTGCCTGGGATTTCTCCCTGGCTCTGAGCTCTTGATGTTCCTGTGATATAGCTTCTGCCAGCAATGAAAACTGTTTAAGGGAAAAGAAAAGAAAACCTTACATTATTTGTAGTCCAAACACAGAAATTCTTGGGTTTAAAATCTTAACTTTAGTGAAAATGAGGCATCATAGTAAAGTACTAGTCTATATCTCAAATTTCCAAACTGTGGTATAGTGACAAGCTCTGAGAAAAACGTGGAGAAACGTGGAGACTTCAACACATGGAGGTAACTTTTTAATCTGATGTACTTGAGGAGCCCACCTGGTCCTTATAGTAGTTCTCCATTGAGTCCAGTTCATTCTGGTGCTGTCTCTTTTGTTCATCTCGCTTTTCTTTGGCATAGTTTCTTAGGTCTCGTAATCTTTGCTTCTGGATTTGTAAACCTTCTTCAAATAGTTTCTTAAATATCTGTCAGTATTCATAAAAATTAAATTTATGTTGACCTTTTCTAAAGGTATAAACTCAGTGTTCCAAAGATACCCTTTTAGGGGCCAGAGAGATAACATAGCGTGCAAGATACTTGCTTTGCATGTAGCAGACCCAGATTTAATTCCGGGCATATCAAGAGTAATCCCTGAGTACACAGAGCCAGGAGTAAGACCTGGATATAGTCAGGTGTGACCCCAAAACAAAGATGCAATATGTATTCACAGAGGTGTACAATCATAAGTCCAAACATTTTCACTATTCCAAAAAGAAATCTCATACCTATCAGCAGCCACTTAGTCCACTTTTTATTTATTTGCTTTTTGGGGTCACACCTGGCTCTGCACAGGGGGTTACTCCTGGTGGTGCTCAGGGGACCATATGGGATGCTGGGAATCGAACCCGGGTTGGCGGCGTGCAAGGCAAATGCCCTATCTGCTGTGCTATCTCTCCAGCGCCCCCTTAGTCCACTTTTTGTATCTATAGATTTTTGCCCTTTCTGGAGTTTTCATGTTAAAGGATATTATACAATGCATGGCCTTTTGTATCTTTCACTTCTCATATTTCTAGGACTCATCTATATTGTAGATGTCTCAAATTTCACTTTTGCCAAATGTATATTACCACTTTCTGTTTATCCAGCAACCATTATTTGTTAATCTGGGAAGTATATGTAATGCCACTGTGAAATCTGTGTACAGGTTGTTTGTATGGCTATTTCTTGAGGAGACTGCTCCTAGGTAAATAGAGGGTAGCTCTGTCTTACTGTTTGAGGAACTGCCAGACCATTCGAGACTGGCTACACCATTTTATAACCTCAGCAGCCCTGCATAATGAAAATTATTGCTCCACAATCTGCTAACATCTCTTTAAAAGTTCTGTGTAAACCATCTTAGAGGGTGTAAGTGGAATGTCACTGTGGTTTTGATTTGTAGTTCTATAATGACTAATGGTTTTGAGCATCTTTGTCTGGGTCTCAAAGATTTTTCACTGCTTTCAGAAAAGAATTCTCAAGAAGCCAAGAAACCCAGGGCAGAAGCAAATGTTGTATCTACACATGAGCATAACTAAAGGTTCTAAATGTTCAAATGATTTTGATCTGCCCACTGTCTTCCACTGCTTGTTAAGAATTTTTTTTGGTGGGGGGAATGCAACATACCAGGAAATGCCATGCTTTGGAATCATGTGTATCATTCAGCCTTTTAAGCCGTCCTTGGCCCCTTATTGGTAAGAATTCTAGATCAGATGAATGATTCACAGTCATGCATTCATGAGCTAGTCCCTATTCACTTAGTCCAATTACTTAACCTTAAAAACTCTTAGGTCATATTTTTTGGAAGTAAGAAATCAGTTAACTATATTTTACTCTGAAGATGAAATTTACTGCCAGTTTGGAATCTAAAAAGATGAAATACTTTAGCTGGATTGGTATAAGATGGCAAATATTTTGTGGAACCATGTCATAGTATACTTACCCTATGTTATTCTCCTGATTTATGTAGAAATTCCATTCTCTTAGAACCTGGTCCTAACCCCTTAATAAAGCAGTTCTACTAAAAGCTGCATGCAGAGATCAGGAAGATTTCACCCTGAGATAAGGGTAGAGGCTTAAAAATAGATTGGGTTGCATTGGAAGGTATATAAAATGAGGGTAGACAAACGTTTTAGGATTTGTACAGGAAGAAAGCCATATTTACCATTTCTTCCCGGGTCCTCATTTTCATCATTTTTGAACGCAAATGAACTCTATACTCATCATAATATTTTCGAGCACGAATAATCTGCTGCCGATTTTCTTTTATCTTTGATTGGGTATACTTCTGTCTGTGAATGCGGTCCTTGAAGTCTTGCTAAGAAAGGCAATGGAGAAGAATAAAGATAAGAACAAAGAAACCAGAGACTAAGGCACTTGCCTTGCATGCAGCCAACCTGAGTTTGATCTCTAGCACCACATGATTTGCCAGGGATCCCTGTGCACTCCCAGGTGTGGCTGGGAAAATAAGACCCTTCCTCCCTCCCTCCCCCCAAAACCCAGGCAGGATAAATGGGCCAGGGAGAGAGCTCAAGGGGCTGGAAAGGATACTGGAGCCCTGAGAGTGGCCCCCCAGTGTATCACATGGTATCTCAGGTACCACCAAGGGAAATAAAAAACAAGTGGGGGGTTGGGAAGGATGGGTTAGCAAAATGGCACTCATTCTTCTCTAGAACTTTAATAGTTCTCATAGCTTCTCTTTCCCTTCAGCAAAATGCCTCCGACCTCTGTCATCTTCATTGTATTGTACAGAGGATGTTGTGCTATATACAGTTCTCTACTTAAATCATAATAGAGGCTCATCAGTGACCTTCCTAACTCTTACCTAGTACCTGAAACAGATGGGAGAGGACAAAAATACTTATAAGGGGCTGTGGAAGTAGACACACTGGGTCAATCTGCCCCTTGGTGACTATGGGGGCACCTAGGGCAAGTTCACAAATATTTCTAGCCTCCAGTTTTTCATAGACAAATCCCCATTAAGTCACTAGAAACACCAAATGAAAATGGACACGTAAGGCACCTAGAACTTTTCTCCTTATTAGTTTAAATCCCACAAGCTACCATAGGTAAGATCAGGAATTACAAAAGCCTGGGACCCATATTTTATAAGCAAAAGTAATTAATAGAACTTAAGAGTTTAAATCCCTACTTGCTCTTGACATACCAGTCTCTTGTTATGTTCATATTCTTTTTTGACAAGTGCGGTAAGGAGTTCATGTCTCCTTAAGGCTTCTTCTATCTTTAAGGGAGACAAAAGGAAGGTGGTTAGTGATGCCATCCATGAGCTGGTACACTTGCTGTATGTGAGGCTAGGGTGGCTGTGACCCTGGCTCAAATTCCGACCTCCCCCAATGCTTTTCACTAGCTTCTCAAGAATAAGTTCTTCCCCTTCTGGTTTAGACTGTTGAAAACTGACAGTTAACTTACTTCATCTTGGAGTTTCTTCTTTGATTGATTTTTTCTACATGCATCTTTTTTGAGTTGTTCAATCTGTGCAATTTGCTTTTTCCACATTTTGCTCAGTGTTTGACCAGAAACGTAGAGAAATGGAAACTGCTCCAGCATCATGGGCAGGAGACTTTGTTCATTTATTTTCACTGTGAAGTTAAAAGAAAAAAAGCTCTTGATCTGAGACACACCTTGATGACAGTTTTTACCAGCAGCTCTCATCCCACCTTTCTGGTAGATCAAAGCTTTTCTAAATGTAAATGGTGGTTCTGATCCTGTAAAGAACAATTCTAAATTTACCTAGCACTGTTGATTCTTTCACCACCCATTAAGGGTGAAAGCAAGGTAAATAGTTCTGATAATGATTCGGTATTCTACGAAGGCCTCTCGCCTAAGTGCTCAGCATTTCAGTGTCTGGGGTGGATCAGTGTGTGTGGTCAGATTCCTTAGCCCTGCTGGGAAGTAATTCTGACTACTGGGATGTAGGCAGAAGGCTAACGCCCTCTGAAGCTGCACCCTGGCAGTTCATATGACCTCATTTTCCTTCTAGTTAAGTCTCCTAGTGCTCACTAGCACCAACTGTCAAGATAAGTGGAGCTGAACAGGCCATCTGCTTGCGCTGGAGCATCCTTTTGGTTGTACCTACTTCCCAGAGCAAAAAGGCAAGCATTGTGAGTCAGCAGAGTGAAGCTAAGCAGCAGGGAGTAGCCTCACCCCTGTTTTGGTGCCAATATAGACCTCCCTTAGCTGGTATGTACCAGTTCTATCTTTATAGAAATCTACAGAATTCAACCATATGGCTTTGATGTAAGAACTTTTCTCCAGCTAGCCGATGAATGTGTTTTCAATGCTTTTGTCCTTGAAATGTAGAATACATTTTCAAAGGACGCCAGTTTTCTGTAAAGTACAATTTTGTGGTTCTTACTTGGAACTGCTTTACTGAATGGCTGTGGCAAGTTATCTCTTAGATTTTGAGTCGTGGTTCTTCTAGAGCACATCTTCCAGGACCGACTAGACTTTGGAGTTCCTTTAAGAACAGGTTCTCTGTATATTTTCTTCTTAGGCGCAGATATAAATTGATTAGAAATAAAAGAAAGTCGAAGAGCTCATTTTTAATCATACATCTTAAATATTACATACTGACAAGTACACAATTAAAAAAATCCCCAGTTAGAATATTTTACTTCAGATTTTTAAAATCTGGTTGCCATTTCTCTAGTTTATGTTAAAAGCACCTCTGGTCCTCTGATATCCCCTGAAACTTGAATTCAAGCATTTAGTCTTCAGTTCCATAGCTACTTAAGTCTTAAGTACAGCCACTAATGTTTTGATACAGACATTTCTTTGAAACTTTCTCCAAGAAGTTTTAAAAAGTTCTTAAAGAGTACTTAGTAATTACCATAATGTATTTGCCCCCATCTTTCGAAAGGCAAAAACAAAACAAAACAAAAAAAACAACAGCTTTGGTTGTCTTCCAACACGTATAGAGCTGGGATTTGTCTTTCCTTACTCCCCTTTACCTTGTCAGCAAGGATCCTTCTTAAACTGTAGTTCTGAAAACTTTGGCAACAGTAAAAGGTTTCTGAATGTGCAACGACCAAAACAATAATTCAAACTCAATCATATCATGAACCTGAGGTGTTTCTGGCTGGATTCACCTGCGCTGCATTTCTCAGAGGGAAAAGGAGCCATAAGTGGAAAAATTCAAGAAGCTCTGGTCTAGACTATTCTTTTAAACCCTTGGTCAGCTGCTACACAACAAACCTTTAAACACACCTGCAAGTTTGGAGCAAGAATAAAAGTTGGCTACCCTGTGAAATAAAAACTTACATTTTTCCTTGTTTTTAGGTCACACCCAGGGGAGCTCAAGAAACCATATGGGGTGCTGGGGATTGAAGCCAGGCTGGCCATATGTAAGGCAAGCACCCTACCTGCTATACTATCAATCTGGCCCAATACTGTCTGTTATTGTAGAAAACTAAAGATTCAAGCCCCTGTGGGTTCCATTTTCCTTTGAAAAATAACATTACTTCCACTGACCAGATAAAATGGCATTTATTATAGTGAAGACTTTTACCCACTGTTTCCTCCTCGTCACTTATTCCTAGAGGTCCAATATTCTCTTGAATTTTACTTCTTCTTAATTCTCTTTCAAATGCTTCACTTATTACCTAGAAGGGCAAAGATCAAGTATTATAGTTGCTAAAAATACATGAAAATTAAGAGGGAAAAATGTATTTTTTTGCTTTTTTTGGGGGGGAGGGGTGGTCACAGCCCCCAACCCCCCAAAATGCTCAGGGGTTACTCCTGGCTCTGAACTCAGGAATTATTCCTGGCGGTGCTCAGGAAATCATATATGGATACTGGTGATCAAACCAAGACCAGCTGTGTGCAACGCAAATCTCCTACCCGCTCCGGCTCCTGAAGAGGCAAAAATGACCAAAGGTCCTGCTCATAAATCAGTATTAACAGACATTAACTGGTACATAAAATCCTTTATCCAATGCATCTTTTCTTTCTGAATTTCAGTCATCATGTTTTGATACTCCTGGGTAGAAGTTAATGCTGAAGATACATGTTACTGTAATACATCTGAAGATTTGTTTTTCATTATTTTAAGATAATAATACTCCAGCAGACAACCCAAGAGTTCTAAGTTTATGTTGCAGTTTAAAATCCCTCTTCCAAAAGCCTGACAATATTTAATCTACCTCAAAGTTTATCACACTCTGAGAATCAACCCCCACCAAATCTCTTTAATCCACTCGTACACTGGATTTTCTGACAGTTTTCTTAGCACTTCATAAGGTCTGTGCTCTTTAAATAGAAAGACAAATTATTATATTAGTTTTCTATCCATTCAGCTCAAATGCACATTAGGCCTTCAATCAACAGCAGTTCATTGTAGCAACGGACTGAGGGTAAATGATTTTGTGTGCCGCCTGAGGCAATGTAGATGGGGTGTACCTTGGCCTGGAATCGCCGGTTATCTGTTTCTTTTGGCTTCTGACTTTTTCTCTCTATAAACTGTTTGTTTTTATTAACTGGTGATGGAGAGAGTGAGTGAGATCTACAGGGTGGCTTTCTACGCATGGCAAGTCCTACAATACAGAAGAGATGTGCACCATTAATTTCTGAAGGCCAAAAATGTTAAGTCAAAACCAAATAGTTCATTTTTAACAAAACCAAAGACACAGCTTTTGAACGTGTTCAACATGTTCCCTTCCATTAATCACACCAACTAAACAAAAGCACAAAAATGTATACCATCATCTCAAAGAAGTACTTAAGTCATATATTCAACTTTGGGTTGAATAAAAAAAGTATATTTTAACATAAAAAAATGGGAGGAGGATGGACACAGAGAAAGATAGTACAGGGGTTAAGGCGCTTGCCATACCATGTAGCTGAGGCTAATTCACAGTGACTAGCCAGGGGTCACTCTGAGCAGAGCCAGGAATAGCCTTAGGACTTCCTGTGATTCCCACCATAAAAAAAAGAGAAAAAAAGAAAAGAAAAAGGAAACTGTAGAGTACCTCTGTAGCTGTCACTGTCATCCCGTTGTTTATAGATTTGCTCGAGCGGGCACCAGTAACATCTCCATTGTGAAACTTGTTACTGTTTTTGGCATATCAGATACGCCACAGGGAGCTTGCCAGGCTCTGCCGTGCGGGTAGGACACTTTTGGTAGCTTGTCAGGTTCTCCGAGAGGAACGGAGGAATCGAACCCAGGTCGGCCGTGTGCAAGGCAAACACCCTACCTGCTGTGCTATCGCTCCAGCCCATACCTCCGTAGCTAGTCATCTTAAAATAGACATAGGGCCAGAGTGATAGTACAACAGGTAAGGCATTTACCTTGCACCAGCTAAGCTAGGTTCAATTCCTGGCACCCCATATGGTTCCCCGGGCTTGCCAGGACTGATTCCTGAGCACAGAGCCAGGAGTAAATCCTGAGACCATTGAGCATAGCCCAAAACAAACACAAAATTGAAACAAAAACCCAGTTATAATTTATATAAGCCTTATGATAACCACAAGTCAAAAATCTAATGTGAAAAAGATGTCAACAAAAGAACGACATCAAGGGCTGGAGAGGGAGACAGACTTACTGCCTCGCACAAGGCCGTGGCCACATCTTTGGTCTGACTCCAGATGCCACATCTGGCACACTGCTAATGTGCTCACATTTCCAAGGCAACATTCAGTCTATACCTATCTGTGTGTGAGGCCCTGGGTTCAATCCCTGGCAAAACTAACTCAAATGTAAATGGGCTAAATTCTCTAATCCTAAACCTAGAGAGGCAGCCCAACTCTATCTAGCCTGTAAAACATTCAATTTCGCCCTCAAGATACACAAAGTGAAGGCACAGAAAAGATGTTTTCAAAGAAAGCAGGACTAGTGGTATGTTTACCAAGTCAAATAGACTTTAGGACTTTAGGATAAGGATTGAAATAAAGCATTTTTTTTTGTTGAGGGGTGGAGTCTCAAACCTGGGAAGATTCAGAGACTGTTCCTCTTGTAGGGGTAGCTAGCTCCCAGCAGTATGCAGGATCATGTGATTCTGGGGATCTAACCCATCCTACCTCATGCAAAGCACATGCTCAGACTTCTGACATCTCTCTCTAACCTTTTTTTTTTCTGATGCTGTTGAGGACCAATCCAGGACTTTACTTATGCAAGGTACCACTGAGTTACATTCCTGGCCTAACAAGGCCATAATGATAAGTGTCAATTTATCTGAAGGATGTAACATTTGTAAATGTATACATGCACCAACATAGTGGTACCTTAACATATAAAACAAATAAATCAAAAGGAGAAACAGCAATACATTATTAGCAGACTTCTTTTTTTGGTGGGGAGGTTATACACGGCATTTCTTAGGGAACCATGTGTACCAGGGATTAAACCCAGGGATTTCACATGCAAATCTATATTCCAGCCCTCTGAGCCATTTCCCTGGCCCAATACTCAGAAACATTAATACCCTACTTTTTTTTTTTTTGCTCGCACCTGGTGATGCACAGGAGTTATTCCTGGCTTTGCACTCAGAAATTACTCCTGGCGGTGCTCACGGGGACCATATGGGATGCTAGGCATTGAACCCCAGTTGGCCACATGCAAGGCAAACTCCCTGCCCTCTGTACTATTGCTCCAGCCCCATAATACCCTACTTTTAACAATAGGTCAAACAAATATAATGAAATATTGAACCTTATCAATATTTTGTAATATTGTAAACAAATGATAAAACTATTATCACTAAAAAATTTAATATGGAAAATCCGGTCACGGTCCTCCCATTGTTCATCGATTTGCTCGAGCGGGCCCAGTAACGTCTCCATCATGAGACTTGTTACTGTGTTTGGCATATCGAATACATCACGGGTAGCTTGCCAGGCTCTGCCGTGCGGGTGAGATACTCTTGGTAGCTTGCCGGGCTCTCCGAGAGGGGTGGAGGAATCGAACTCGGGTCGGCCATGTTGGCCACTTCTAAGGCAAACGCCCAACCGCTGTGCTATCGCTCCAGCCCCTAATAAGGAAAATATTGAAAAAATGTACTTCATGCAATAAAGCATTTGCAAAACAAAAATTTTTTGAAAAATGCTAAGACACCTAATGGCTGAGGAGACAGAGTACAGAGTTAAGGCACTTCCCGGCATCACCAGGAGTGAGCCCTGAAAACAGAACCACGAGTAGTTTCAGGTGTGGCCAACCCTCCTTCCCCCTATCACAAGTAACAAAAGCAAGACTACATCAAATTAAAATGCTTCTGCACATCAAAATAAATGATTAGCAAAATGAAAAAACAATCTACAAAATTGGTCCCCTTTTCCTGAGGACTATATGGAAAAGGACTGATGTTGGGTATAAAAACAAAGACATCAATTTTGAGAGTGCACTTTCTTTAAGGGAGGTAAGAACAAACTATGATGAGGTCAGTGGAGATTTTGACCCTCCCTTTTCTTTTTTTGGTCTTCTGAGTCACATCTGTTGTGCTGCAGGATCACTCCTGGGGGGGCTTCAGGGACCATATGAGATGTCAGGGATAAGCCCAGGAAGGCTGCATGCAAGGTAAGCACCTTATGTGCTGTACTCACTCTGGCCCCAAGATTTCAACCCTTCTTAAGTATGATAGGTCTAAAGGTAATTGTTAACATAATCTATATATATATCTATATATATAGGATTCTGATCTTATGTTTGACCCCTTCAGTATTTCTGAAATCTTTGAAATAAAGAAGTTAATCATTTTTTGGTTTGAGGGGAGGAAGGGATGGAACCTCTGGCCGCATACACATGAAGCATGTGCTCTCCCACTGAGCTGTCCTTGGCTGGGAAGGAGCACTAGAACAGACAGAGGTGTCTAGATCCATCACTGGCTTCTCCCGAGCAGGTACCTGGCCTTGGTTTCTTCAGCTCACGTTCCATGATGCTGTCACTGTGTTGAGACAAAGTGTCTTCACTTTGAATGTTCTCCTCTTCAGAGTCAGTCTTTTCTTGAACTCGATCACCCAGGGCACTTTTCAACATCTAATGAGAAAACACCTTTTCAACATCTTTCATTGATTTCAGTGAAAAGCTGGAGTACACATAAAATCTTTTAAAAAGTTTCTTCTGATAATTAGGCACTAATTCTAAATTTTCAAATTCTATGCATGCTTAGGTTTTACATGGTATATTAACAGTGCTATGTACTATGCAGAGCCAATAAACAAAGTTAAAGGAGATATTTAATTCATATACTCAATAACCCAAATTGTAATATTTTTGTAAGAATGAGAGATCTGTGCAGTATCATGTCAAACTTGTCTTTAAAAGTAAAACACTGATGCATTTATACAACAATTTCTTAAATGCAGATTTCATTTTCATAGAAGTCAATAAAATTTGAATAAAATCTGTACCAATTTGTAACATGGGAGGCTAGGGAGAATGCTATACCCTATCTACTTGAATCATGTAACATTTTCTCAATAACTAAGACACAACTAATTTTCTAGCACCTTTTCATCTTCAATTGAAAGATCACTTGAATGCTCACCAACCATGGCAATCTCAGTGTAGAGTAAAAAATAAATAATAAAGACTTGCCAAATCTAGTTCATAGAGTCTCTGGGAGAGTTTCTCTGATACTGATTGTAATCCGTGCTCTGTTAACCTCTTTCTTAGTCTCTGGGAGAAAGATGAATCCCAGTACAAGTCTGCAGCTTTGTTTTCATATCTGTAATGAGTGACCATGTGACATCTGAGTAGTCAAGTAGATAGTTCAAATAACTTTAGTGATGTATCTTTGCCAATAACCATTCTGCAGTAATTTTACCTTTTTCCTTTGGGTAGTTTCCTTGTTCTAGGGCTTTGAGCCAGGTCTGGACTTATTTCCTGTTTGTTATCCTTATGCAACTTAGAAGTTAAGAAAACGCTGTTTTCTGATTCCTATAAAAAAAGAACAATGTTGATTTGAAAAATTGAGACACATTAAAAAGAACATTTTGGAAATCAGAGCAAGGAATGATCTGTGGAAAGGTAGACTCCTTAATTTTTTATGTTTTGTATTTTAAAAATTGTTTCTTTGGTTGGGCGGGGGGGAATACATTTGATAGTGCTCAGGGGATAAGTCTGGTTGAGTGCTTGGGGATGGAACTTGGAACTTCCACATACAGAGCGTTTGCTCCAGGCCTTTGAGTCATCCCCCCAGGCCATTTTGCTTACTGACTGACTGCAGTAAACTGGGCCTACTAAGAGGTGCTCAGGATACGTGAGGGGCCCTTCTGAATTCTCAGCCAACCTGCCAGTGGTTCAATGCCCAAGGATATTGTGCTGTTAAACTTCCAAATTACCTGGGTCACATCACATACTCTCTCTCTGGTTCTGTTTCACTAGTTTTTGGTGGGGAGGGGGTGTTAACACCAGGGTGTAATACTCTTGGTGGGCTCAGAAGACCAGATGGGATGCTGGGGATCAAATCCAGGTCAGCTGCATGCAAGGCCAACATCCAACCTGTGGTATTATTGCTTTGGTCCCCGCTTTGCTTTTTAAAACACACATTTGTCAAAATATTCTGTCACTCAATGTCAAAGGAATGGAGAATATTTCTATACACTTTTTCTTCTTAAAGAAAAAGTGTGGCCCAGGTACCATTTAAATATAAAGGCAGGTCAGGTATTCTCAATATGAAAATTCAAGGGTTGTGGCTATACCTGGGACCTTTAAAGAAGTCACAAGTTGGGAATTATTAGTCATTGTCTTTCATATCAAAGAATCATTATAAACTTTCCAGAAGTGAAATTGTTAAAAACAAACCTCATCCAATATGAAGACTAACTCAGCATTTCTGTGTGTGTGTGGGGGGGGGGGGGGCTGGAGGGGGGAATAGTTGGGGCTGGGGAATTCACGCACACCTGCACTGCTCAGGGGTTCATATGTGTTTGGGGCGAGGGGGGATAATGGTTGCAGGGGGAACATCTGCACTGCTCAGGGTTCACATGTGTGTGTGTGGTGGGGGGGGGGAGTAATGGTTGCAGGGGGCAATTCAGGTCATATCTACACTGTTCAGGGGTTCATATGTATATGTGGGGGGGAAGGTGGGGGGTCAATTCAGGTCACACCTGCACTGCTCAGGGGTTCATGTGTGTGTGGGGGGTGTAATGGTTGCAGAGGGAAATTAGGGCCACATCTGCACTGCTCAGGGGTTCATATGTGTGTGGGGGGGGTGGTGGTTGGGAGGTGGGGAACTCGGGTCACACCTGCATTGCTTAGGGCCATATGGAACGCCAGGGTTGAACCTGGGTTGGCCGCATACAAGGTGTAGTACAGCCTTAACCACTGTACTACTGCTCTGGTCCAGAACTGCCCATTCTTGTTTTAAGGAATACAGGGACAGAATGACTGCTAAAAGGATTTCTTTTTTTTTCAGAGCAGAAGAGAGGGGGATCAGGGATGTGGTCTAAATGGTAAACATGCTGTGCATGTGCAGGGCCCTGAGTTTAACCCTCAGGGTGGAATTGGTGGTTCCTGAGCACTACCAGGTGGGGCCCTCCAGCAATATCAACAACAAAGAGGCCAGGAGAGAAAGCTAAAAGGTCAAAAAATTAATAGCAATTAGAGCTAGATGACAAGAGTATGGATGAAGGCTATTTTTCAAAGTCCGTATACTTTTCATTTCAAACACACACACAGATTCTGAAGTCAGAATGCCTGAGTTCAATCATTCTAAGGCTGGAAATAGAGCTCAGCAGGCTGGAATGGACGGTTTGAATGTGAAAGGCCCAGAGTTGAGCCCTGGAGTAGCCCCTGAGCAAGGCAGGTGGGACCCCAATACCGTTCCTTCAAAATAGCTCCCTGAAAAACGCAAAATTCTGACTCTACAACAGCTGTGACCTTATATAAGACATTTAAATCTCTCTACATCAACTTCCCCATAGAAAATAAAATAGCTACTCCAGACCTAGTGTGAGGAGTTATGAATGCCTAAAAAGGACCCCAGACTCTGCTTGGCAACACTGAAAAATGTGTTAGCTATTTCTTACTATTTTCCTTTTTTTTTTTTTTCGCCATACTCTGCGGTGTTCGGGGCTTACACCTGGTGGTGCTCAAAGGACCGTATGGGATGCCAGGGATAGAACCCAGGTTGGCAACATGCAAGGCAAATACCCTACCTGCTGTACTATCACTCCGGCTCCTGCTATTTTCCTTGTTATAGAGTCATCTGTGATCAGTGCAAGATCCTTGACTATTACTCTAGGTGGAGACCTCTGTAAAGCTACGGATGTTTATCCAACGGAAAGCAAACATTTCCGCTTACCACAGGAAAGGCAGTGTCCTCTCCAGTAGAGGTCATTGCAGGAAAGCAGTGGCTTGAAAGCAGATAGTCTTTTCCTATGGGGTAAGGAGCTCGCTGTTCTGAAGGCTGGTAGGGGGGATGTAAAGGAATAGCAGAACGGATAGGTTCCCCTAGCTTCCGAGCGCTTGGAATCAGATCCACAGGAATTTCTAATTGGATAAATGAAATATAGCAATTATCATGAAATGAAAAATAGATCATTTTGCACATATGTGAAGAGTCACTGTCCTCCCGTTGTTCATCGATTTGCTCGAGCAGGCCGAGTAACGTCTCCATTGGAGACTTTGTTGTTACTGTGTTTGGCATATTGAATACGTCACGGGGAGCTTGCCAGGCTCTGCCGTACGGGCGAGATACTCCCGGTAGCTTGCCAGCTCTCTGAGAGGGGTGGAGGAATTGAACTCAGGTCGGCCATGTTGGCTGCGTGCAAGGCAAATGCCCTACCGCTATGCTATCGCTCCAGCCCCCCTTTGCACATATACAAACAACAAATATGTTCATGGACTACTCAGAAATATACTTTAAACTGTACCTTTAAAATAAGTACAGGGAAAAAAAAATCAGGCAATTATCCTCAGGAATTAAGTCGAGACAATCATAAGTCAGGGATGTAGCTGACTAGCAAAGCATTTGCCTTACTGTGAGTAAGGTCCTGGTTTAATCCCTGGCACCATACACACACACACACACACACACAATAAATTTGTTTTTGAGTCATACCCTCGCTGCACTCACTCCAGGTTCTGTGCTCAGGAATTCTGGTGGACTCCGGGGACCATATGGGATGCTAACTATTTCAAGATCTAGTAACAAATCTTGAAATGGATACATCCATTTCCATTGAAATGGGTATGTCCATTTGAAATGGATATTCAAGATATATCGCTGGAGTGATAGCACAGCAGGTAGGGCATTTGCCTTATACACGGGCGGCCCGGGTTCGATTCCTCGATCCCTCTCAGAGAGCCCAGCAAGCTACCGAGAGTATCCCACCTACACGCACGCAGAGCCTGGCAAGCTCCCCGTGGTGTATTTGATATGCCAAAAACAGTAACAAGTCTCACAATGGAGACGTTATGGTGCCCACTTGAGCAAATCGAGGAACAATAGGAGGACAGTGCTACAGTGCTACAGTAACACATTACCACTCACCATCTTCAACAAGGGATGTCCTAGTCTTTGACAAAACAGTAGATGAGGGAGGTTCCAAAGCCTCTTTATGAAATTTGAAATGTGGCACAGCTGAGGTTTTAGACTGCATTTCATTAGGATCTTGAACACCTAAAAAAAAATAATAAAGTTAAAAACCAGGGAGAGAGATGGAGAAATGGTACAGCAGGTAAGGTGTTTGCCTTGCATGCAGCCAGCCTGGGTTCAATCCCTGGCCCCCAGATGGTCCTTTAAGTTCCTGAGTGTATGTGGTCCAAAACCACACACACACAAACACACAAAGGTAAAAATAATTTCAACTATCGAATAGCACAGTATTATATTGCAGGTCAAAAATTTGGGGGCCAGAGAGATAATACAACAAATATAGAAGAGATTGAACAGACCCAGGTTCAATCCTGGCATCCGAAATGGTCCCCCAAGCATTGTCAGGAATTCCTGAGAGTAGAGCCAGTAGTAACCCGAGCACTGCTGGGTGTGGCCCCGAAACAAAAAATACCAAAATCTTGTATCCACAGGATTAAAGGTAAATACTTTTTTGCGGGGGGAAGTGGGGTGGCGGTGGAGAGGGGTCTGGGTCACATTCAGTGGTACTTGAGGGCTATTCCCAGCTCAGTGCTTGGAAATCCCACCCAGTGGGTGTTTAGGAGCAGTGGTGCTAGGATTAAACTGAGACTGGTCACATACAAGGCAAATTGCCTTAACTTCTAAACTTTTTGGTGCTGAAAAATTGCTCTTAATAATTATCAGATAGTGAGATACAGTTCTGTAGCACAGAATTTAGCCAGATTGGATGCAATACTTCAGACTGTTCCAAAAAACAGTGCCAGAGTAGAAATGCTGGTGGTTGTGTCCAGATAGTATGTACTCTATTGATGAGTTACACCTGCAGACATTTCTTCTAAAACAACTTTTCTGGGGCAGCGGGGGTTGGCTGTACCAGCAGTGCTGACCATGCAGTGCTAGGGGCTGCACAGGGGCCTCCTCCATGCAAAGCATCTGCTCCTATCCTTTGAGCTCTCTCCCTTGTCCATCCCACACCTCTCCACACACATGATTTCGTGAAGACTTCACACATTTAATTCCTCATTACGAAGGTGTGACAATGCACCCTGAAACTCACTGTTACCAATATGATCAAGTTATATGATCCTTAAGTACAGAAAAATTCACCTTGTTCACATCCCAAAAGCCATTCAATTTAAACACTGTGTAGTTTTAAATGTTTGACACTCATATACTATAAAAACCAGCAAACATCTTTCTATGCTCTCCTTTTCCATAATCCAGTACAACATGGTTATTTCACATCAAAATGTTTTAAGTATCCAAATATCTAAGATTTTATCTTTAATATAAATAGCATCCCAAGACTAATGTTCAAAATTCTTAACATGGGTCAATTTCTCTACTACATTAAATATTTTAAGGCAGGAGCACTTCCAGCAATGCTGGAGAACAAGCCTGTGGCTCCCATCAAAGTGCTCTGAGCTATCTCCCTAGCCCTCTAATTTATTTTTACTGGCTAATTCACTTTGATCTAGATCCACTTTTTTTGTTGCATGTTTTTACTGGAGCACAGATGGGGGAGTCTGGGTCACATTTGGAAGTATCTGAGAGACCCTAAAGTGCCAGGAATCAAACCCAGGCCTTCCTCATACAAAGCACGAGCTCAGTCATTTCTTTATTTTCTTTCATCTTTTTTTTCTCTTTGTGGTGCTGGGAGCTACCCCAGGGCTTTAAACAGGCAGGCAAGTACTCTGCTGCTGAGTTACACCCTTAGCCTTTCTCCTTCGGTTTCTTGAATTTTCATCTCCAATGTTGTTTTTAATGGAGTTTCTCCTAAAAATCTTGCACAAATCAATATCTAGAATTTAACATGTGTCAGACCAAAAGTTACATACTGGAATATTTTCCATAATCTTAAATGATTTTAGAACACAATTTTATTACTGCAAAGACTATGATCTTCTTCACTGTATAATTAAATTTTAATTATATAAGCATCTCTAGTCAGTAATAGAGGTATCTCCAGCATGCAAGCAAATCACGCCCTCAGTCTGTTGAGCTAGCTCTGTGGCTTTCTTCTCAATTTTAAATATTTTCTTTGAAAAGTTGTTATTTACTGTTCACAATTTTATAGCTCTGTACTGGATAGTAGAAGCTGATAGAATTTCACTACTCACCGTTACTTCTTAGAGAAAAGGTGTGTGCTGTATCTCCGAGCCTAATAAGTTCACCAGTAGATTCTGCTTCATCTCCTTCCCAAGAAGGTCCCAATGCCTCAGGTGACATGGAGCACCTGAAAGAGTTTCCTTGTTTACTCAGTGCCAGGTCAGACAACAGAAGGGCCTTTCTATGTGGATCTTAAGAGCTGTTCAAGCACTTTTTCTCTGGGTGTCCTGATTAATCGCTCACTGCTGTGTATATTAAAAAAAAAAAAGGAGAGGCCCACCCCTATACCTTCCACTCCCCATTTTTCACTTCTACTGCTTATCTATTTGTTTTGACTGACACATATATGATAGAAATTACTATGTATAAACTGTCTAGTATTATGCATTTATGGTAATACAAAGAATATTGGTTTTTCTAGATCTACGGCTGACAAGAGTCTGGGAAGGGTATTAACTGCATTAAATATTATAGTAGTGGCCAGAGAGATAGTACAGGGGCTAAGGCCCTGGCTTTGCCTGGGGTCAACCCAGATTTGATCCCTGGAACCACTATGTCCTCCAAGCACTGCCAGGTCTGATCTCTGGGCTCAGGCCCTGCGCACTGTCAGATGTGGGAAAAAACCCACACACATATATATTCTTGTATTCCATTTTTGGGCCTAGTATTTTTCTTTTTTTCCTTTTTGGGTCACACCTGGCGATGCTCAGGGGTTACTCCTGGCTCTGAACTCAGTAATTACTCCTTGTGGTGCACGGAGGGACCAGTAATATCTCCATTGTGAGACTTGTTATTACTCTCTTTGGCATATCAAATACGCCACGGGGAGCTTGCCAGGCTCTGCCGTGTGGGCAGGATACTCTTAGTAGTTTGTCAGGCTCTCAGAGAGGGACAGAGGAATTGAACCTGGGTTGGCCGCGTGCAAGGCAAATGCCCCACCCACTGTACATACAAGTATAGGTACATACAACCACTTCCACTTTAGAGGAATAGTTTAAAATTTCCTAATGTTGAGGCCAGAGAGAGAGTATAGCAGGTAGGGTATTTGCCTTGCTTACAACCAACCCAGGTTCAATCCCTGCCACTCCATATGGTCCCTGGAGCCCACATGGAGTGTAGAGCAAGAAGTTAAAATGTTAATAAAAATTTTTACACCAACACTGTTTTTGTTACCATTCTGGCTTTTGTGTGTACTTTAAATTCTCTAAAAGAAAAACCATGTTTTGATTTGATTCATAGAAATAGAGGTCTACCTCCCAAAAGAAACTTTTTTCCGTGATTTGGAATCTTTAACATTTTCTTCCACTTCCAAAAGGTCTTCAGGCTGTTTAAAATACTGTTCAGTTTCACCTATTTAGAATAAAACAAAAGAAGAGGAAAAACAAAACCCCAAGTTAATACTACTTTTGTATAAGGGTGGTAAAGACAATTAGGAACCCTAAACCCCGTGGTAAACTTGGATTCTTTTGAATGAAATTAGAACCAATTCTCACCTACAGTGAACATTATTACTTGGGTAACAAAGAACTCAAGTGTTGCTTTAAAAGCAGGGCTGCCATTCTATTGCAATGTTTTATTTTGATAATCTAGGTGGTAAGTTCATTTATTAGTCACTGTACTATTTGTAAGGGATGTCTGAGGCAAGTTAACCAAAGTGCAGCTTCAGTAAAATATGAGCATCAACCTACATCTTTGACTAATTTACTAAGATCCATTTAGATACGCTCAAGGTTTGGATGAAATTTTTCCACCCATTTTTCTCTACAGAATTCTTGAGGAATATATTTACTGGCAGCAATAACTCACCAGTGCATTAATATCTGGAGTTATCATAGATGAAACCACCCATGATTCAAACCCACCCCTACGGATATTCCCCTTCCCATTTCTAGAGATTCCTAGTTCAAATACATGTATTTTCGGATCAGAGAGAGCACAGCGGTAGGGCACTTGTCTTGCACATAATCAACCCAGTTCAATCCCTGATACCTCACATGGTCCTCCAAGTCCAGCCAGGAGTGATTCCTGAGCGCAGCTGGGCTCAGGAATCAAACCCAGGTTGGTCATGTGCACGTCAAAGGCCCTGCCCATTGTACTATCTCTGGTAGTACTGTCTATTCTCTTTAACTGTCTATATTCTACAATGTGTGAGATCATCCGGTATCTGTCCTTCTCCCTGATTTATTTCGTTTAACATGATACCCTCCAATTCCATCCACATTGCAGTAAACTGTTAAACTCCATAATTTCATCTTTTCTGCATTACTTTTTTTTAATCAGAAGCACAGTATTTCATTGTGTATATCTACCACAACTTCTTGACCCAATCATCCATAGTTAGACACATTTGGGTTGTTTTACATATCCTAGTTATCATATTAAGCACTGCAAAGAACATAGATGTGCACAGATACTTTCAAATTAATGTTTTTTGTAGTTGTCAAGAAGTGGTCACATGGGAGTTCTAGCCTTACTTTTTGAGAAATCTCCATACTGCTTTCCACAGATGTTGACCAGACAACTTTCCTACAGTGAATGAGGGTTCCTTCCCACTATGTCCCAAGTCAATACTGATTGTTTCAAGTAAACCTAGATTCAATCTCCAGCCCTCCAGATGGTCTCCTGAGCCTGGCTGTGCTCAGGGCTTTACCCTGGCTCCGTGCTCAGGGATCATTCCTGGGGGGTTCAGGGAACCAGATGAGGTTCCAGGAATTGAACTCAAGTTGGCTATGTGCAAGGCAAGTACCTTACCCACTGTACTATCTCTCTAGCTTCTGAGACCTTTTCAAATGACTTCAAGCCATTATGTCCTCTTCAGGGAAGTGTATCGGTTCATTTCCTCTCCTTGGGGATGGGGTATTGTATTTTTAATTTTTGAGCTCTGTATTTTATAAATCTTAGATATTAACCATTTATCTAATATATTACATGCAAATATTTTCTCCCACTTTCCTTTAAGTAGTGTTTCTTTTTGGGTCAAAGTGATAGTACAGTGGGTAGAGTGCTTGCACGTGGCCAACCTGGGTTTGATTCCCGGCATCCCATATAGGTCCCCCAAGCATCACCAGAGGTTATTCCTGAGTGCAGAGCCCTGAGCAGTGTAGGATGTGGCCCCAAAACAAGCAAACAAAAATCAGGATTTCTTTTTATTCTTGCTCAATGACTTTTGGCTTGCAAAACTTTTTTTTCTCTTTTATTGGTCACCGTGAAACAACAAAATTATTCATGACTGGGTTTCAGGCATATCTTACTTCAACACCAATCCCTTCATCAGTGCCCACTTCCTTCCACCAATTTCCCTGTCTCCTCCTTTACCTACCACCCACCAGAGTAAGGGGAACTTTTTTTTCTTTTAGGGTCACACCCGGTGATGCACAGGGGTTAACTGCTGGCTCTGCACTCAGGAATTACTCCTGGCAGTGCTCGGAGGACCATATAGGATGCTGGAAATCAAACCTGGGTCGGCCATGTGCAAGGCAAACACCCTACCTGCTGTACTATCTCTCCAGTCCCAACACTTTTTTAAAATACATGTTTTGCATTGTAATTTACTGTACTGTAGCTGAAAGGATTTCATACACTTTAACACCTTTCAGCACTACCTCCTCCTCCAACTTGATCTTCTCTCCACTACAGTCATTGCCTCCTTCCTGTTCAGTCTCTCAGCCTCCTCAAGTGGCAAGTTTCCTGACTGAAAACCAGTTCTCATGTTCTTTGTTTCCAATGTCCTTCATTATTTCCCCACTGTATTTCCTTAAACCCTGCATATGAGAGAGATCATTCACTGTCTCCTTCCTCTCTCCTCTCTCTCTCTCCTTTACTCTCCTCCCTCCTTCCCTCGTCTCTCTCTCTCTCTCTCTCCTTCTCTCTCCTCAGCATAATTTCCAGGTCCCTCCATGTAGCAATAAACTTCATTACTTAATCTTTTGTTGTACAGTGTAGTGATATTCCATTTTGTGCTTGTACCAGTTTCTTTATCCAGTCATCTATTCTTGGACACTAGGGTTGTTTCTAGATTTTGGCTACTGTGAATAGCCAGGAACAGAGGGATGCAAATACCTTATCTCTGTTTTGATTTTGAACCCTTGGGGTATATTTCAAGAACTAGGATTGCTAAGCCAAATGGAAGCTCCATTCCTAGTTGCTGTCTTAGTCTCTGGAGTCAAATCACTTAAAGAAACATGTTTTCCCTTTTGGAACCTAGCAGTGCTCAGGGCTTACTCCTGGCTCTGGCTCTGTGCTCAAGGAGCACTCCTGATGTGTGGAGAGAGGTCAGGGGGACCATATAGGGTGCTGGGGTCAGCTGGGTGCAAAGCAAGCATCCTACCCTCTCTACTATTTCTCCAGCCCCATGAAGACACTTCCAAGGGTCATTTCCTGGAGAGTTCTCCCTATGCTTTCCTCAAAGTTTTCATTCATTCTGGTTTAATCTCAAAGTCTTTAATCCACTTTGAGTTTTTATTTATTTTTTTGACTTTTGGGCCACGCCCAGCCGTGCTCAGGAGTTACTCTTGACTCTGTGCTCAGGGATCACTCCTGGTGGTTCTTGAGGGACCAAATGTGATGCTGGTATCAAAACCAGGCTGGCCATGTTATAAGGCAAGCATCCTAACTGTTGTATGGCCCTTGAGTTGAATGGTGTGATATGGTTTCATCAGTTTCATTTTTGCATGTTTTCCCAATACCATTTGTTGATGATATTATTTTTGCTTCACTTCTGTCACTGATTAATCATCCATAAATTTGAAATATTAGAATTCTCAATTCTATTAGTGGTCTGCAAGTCTAACTTAAATTTAGTACCAAATTGTTTTGATTTGTAGTACAAGTAAATGTCAGGAAATGCAATGCCTCCCATCTACTTTTTTCTTTCTTAGAATTGATTTGGCTGTTTATAGTTCCATACAAACTTTAATAGAATTTGTTTCAAGCCTTTTAAGAATGCCATTGGAACTTTTCTTGTTTGGTTTGATTTTAGGCCACACCCGGTAGTGCTCAGGGGTCACTTCTAATGAGGCTCAGGAAACCAAGCCCAGGTTTCTGGGATCAAACCTGGGTTGGCCACATGCAAGGCAAGCTCCCTTCCCACTGTACTATCACTTTAGCCCCTGCCATTGGAACTTTAATGGAGACTACTGAATTTGTACAATACTTTGTGGAGGCAGGTTATTCTGACAATATTGATTCTTCTAAACCATGAACATAGTTTTGTTTTGCTTTGGGGCCACACCCGGCAGTGCTCAGGACTTACTAATGGCTCTGCACTAAAAGATCACTCCTGATGGGTTTGATACACTATATGGGGTGCCAAGGAAGAAAGTGAGCCACATGCAAGGCAAGAACCCTACCTGCTATACTACCGCTTTGGCTCCATAAAGAAACCCCAACCTGGATTTGATCCCTGGCATCTCCTATGGTGCCCTGAGCACTGGCAAAAGTAATTCCTGAGTGTTGAGCCAGGAGTAACCCCTGAGCAGTGCCGGGTGTGGTCCTACCTCCAAACTTAATCCATAATTCGATTTACCAGATAAAGTCATCAGAAAAAAACAGGTTAAAAAAATAAAAGCAAAATACGGCATAACCGTCAAACCAATTTTCTATTATTAACTTACTTTTCTCATAAGATGCTTCACTGACATGTTCTGTAAGATACTCCAGCAACCCATCAAGGATTTCTAGAAGATTCTTAATAGATTCTTTGTCTCCTTTTACTATGTTTTCTCCTAAGCACAGAATGCAGCACAGTTAAAAACAATGAAGAAATTAAAATTCTCATAATCTTGAAATATATACTACTGTGGAAACTTCAAGAAAATAAGGATTATAACTAACCCAGAATAAACAATATAAATATTAAAAACATCAATTTCCTGCTTCTGATAATATCTGACGAAACAAAGGAAACAGTCTTGAATATAGTGTTTGATACTTCACTGGCACAGTTCTTCCCCTATGAAGCAAAATATGTGGACTTAAGAAAACATCCTTTATTAAATTTTTTTTGGTTTTTTTTTTGAGCCACACCCACAGATAGTAGAAATTATCTATTCCACTTAACATTTTAGTGCTTACTCCCAGCTCTGTGCTAGGGTTTACTCCTGTTGGGTTTGGGGGATGATATGGTGTGCCAAGGATCAAATCTGGTTCGGCACATGCAAGCCAAGCACCCTACCTGCTGTGCTATTATTCTGGCTCCTCCTCTATAAATTTAGTATAAATTTTATACTAAAATTTAAAGCAGTGAAGCAGTTTTCTTAGGCTGGTGAAACAAACAGGCAGAAAAGAACCATTTTCAACTGTAGGAGACTACTTGTAGATGGCTGTATGTTAGGAAATGACAATAGTAGAACAATGTAGAAATAACCAAAAATACCTATTGAGAAACTTTGGGAATTCCCAATTTTTCTCCATGTTTGTTAATTTCTATTCATTTTATGTGATTCATCCCATTTTTCTATCTAAAAATCATCCTTGAGTCCATGAATACAAACCCCATCCTTTTTGTCTTGTTTTAAGGCCACACCCAACAGTGCTCAGGGCTTAATTCTGGCAGGGCTCAGGAGTGCTAGGTCTCAACTGGGCTGGGTGTGTACCTTACCTTCTATACTTTCTCTGTACCTCTGAACCTCCCCCACACTTTTTTTGTGAAGTTAAAAGGTTCACAAGAATATGAAGGTGAAATGAGAATGTCAAGTTAGAAGGTTACAAAAGGATTATAAGCATTTGGAAAGCTGACATATTTAAAGTCACCTAAAATGAATCCCAATCAGCATCAGGTGTGGACAGAATGTTAGCTCTTGAGACACTAAGGCTGTCCTCTGGGACACCATGCCTGGCATTCTCAGGAGTTAAAAACCAGAATGGTGAAGCTGAGTAAAAATTGCTATTTGAGAGACTCTAGCCACTCAGAACTTAATCTACTCCAGGAATCCAGTGTCTTACAATAATACTGTTAGGAAAGAACATATTTGACAACTGGGTTTTTGTTTTTTTGTTTAAAACCATCAACCAGAAATCTTGTTTTTAAGCCTTGTTTTTCTGGCTTAACAAGATACTTAAGTATATACTCCAGGGCATACTCACGACTTCTCAGTTTCCAGGATGGGGAGCATACTCTACCAACCCAGCAACTAAGACTGCCCTCCAGAATGTAGTGCTTCATGGTGTAGAAAAACAGCTCAAAACAAAACAGTACAGTCTTCTGAAAGAGGTAAGCAGTTTTGAAATTTTTCATGGAGTATTTAAACTGCCAGAGGTAGATCCGCACTAAAAATATCTTTAGGGTTGGGGCCAGAGAGGTAGTACAATGGGTAGGGTGCTTTCCTTGTACATGGCTGACTCGGGTTTGATCCCTGGCAGCCCTTATGGCTCCTCAAGAACCATCAGAAGTGATTCCTGGGCTAAGAGCCAGAATTAAGCCCCGAGCACTGCCTGTATGGCCCCCAAATAAAAATAAAACCCAAAAAGTCTCTAAAAGAACCTTTTTCCTTTTTAGGAACAATCACCCCCTAAAATTTTTTATAAGTAGATCTACTCTTGCTATAGTATGCTTCTAGAAGCACAAATATTAGGGAGTTGGAGAGATAGAACAGGGAGTAATGTGCGTGCCTATCTTGCATATGGCTCCCCCAGTTTCATTCCTGAGACCGCATGAGCCATCAAGCACCTCCAGAAGGGACTGCTGAGCACAGAGCTTGGAGTAACCCTGAAGTACTGCCTGATTTGGCTCCCCCCTTTTGTTGTTAATATCAAATTAAAAGATAGAAATTATCTATTCCACTTAACTTAGCTCCTGTCAAAGAATAAACCAATAGTATAAACCTTCCCTTAATGATTTAAGTATAGTTTCAAGTTCCCAAGATCCGATCTGCTTGCTAGCTTGCATAAAAAACTAATCTTTCTATTCTCACTATTTGCATATATAGCAATTCATAAATATGTTTGGCATTAGAATACAGGCTTAGTACACTTTACTTTGGAAAAATGTTCAAAAACAGCTTTGGTCTATTTATTTGGGACAATATAGTCAAGATTCAAATTCAAAGTGCAAAAGAAGGGCCAGAGAGAAATGGGTTCAGAGATTAAAGTGCATGGTATGGGGCCGAAGCAATAGCACAGCAGGTAGGGCGTTTGCCTTGCACGTGGCTGACCTGGGTTCGGTCCCCAGCATCCCATATGGTCCCCCAAGCACCTGCCAGGAGTGATTCCTGATTGCAGAGCCAGGAGTAACCCCTGTTGCATCACCGGGTCTGACCCAAAAAGCAAAAAACAAAACAAAACAAAAAAAAAAAACCAGAGACAAAGTGCATGCTTGTTTGCACGGACCCCAGTTCAATCCCTTGCCCACCACAAGTGCCCAGAAGCTTCTGAGCACCCAGGGATGGCCTGAATAATTCCTGGTACAGCAGAGCCCTCAAAGGCTATACCCTTGAGCCCTCATATGAATTGTAGGTCTGGCTCACCAAGAACCACCAGGAGGGGACCTCAGCCTTCTGAGAACTGCTGGGAGAGCCAAAATAAAGAAGCAGTGCAAAATTATATGATGAAAAGTCTTATCCCACCCTCGTACTGCACTGGAGCACAGTGAAGCAGGTATTACAGAGTTGCATCTGCTTTCAGAGAGTCCTGCATGAAATCAATTCACCTTTGCTTTTAACAGCAGCATGCTCTGAACTTGATCATTCTAACTGTGCATTTTTCTCAGTTAATACTTACTGGCAAATAAAACTATGATCTTAAGGAGATGCTCAAAGGCACCTATAGTCTGGATTGAATCCCTGGCACTGAACATTCATTCCACCCTGTAGCACTGCCAGGTGTAGTGCATGGCCCCTGAGTATCAGCAACTGTTAGTCTCTATCCGATTTTTTTTTTTAAAGAAAGGGTTTTGTTTCTTCTTTGGGGGGCAGGGGGGAGCAGGGCAGGGCACAGGGTTGGTTTTTGGCTATGCTCAGGGTTTACATCTGGTTCTGGCTTCAGGTATCACCCCTGGCAGTGCTGGAGATTGAACCCAGGCTGTTTGCATGGAAGGCAAGTGCTTTACTGACATACCCACGATGCTAGTGCTGCAATTTATTAAATAAGTCACTGGTAGTATGTGCAGGTATCAATATGATAAAAAAAACTATCACGCTACTTATTCTCAGGGCTAAAAAGTAGGAATATCTAAAACTTCACTACTAAGGAAAACTTAGACAAATCACCATACCAACATAGAAAAGCTAGGCTGCAACTTTTTTTTTTTTTTTTTTTTGCTTTTTGGGTCACACCCGGCGATGCTCAGGGGTTACTCCTGGCGGTGCTCGGGAAACCTGTGTGGGCCATGTTGGCTGCGTGCAAGGCAAACGCCCTACCCGCTGTGCTATCGCTCCAGCCCCCTAGGCTGCAACTTTAAAGAATAATTATGGTGGATTTTTTTTTTTGAGGTAGTTTTATTTAGAAAATATGAGAGGGAGAGAGATTCCAGTAAAAAAAAAAAGAAGAAAGAAAAATTAAGCACCTGAAGCTGAGATGCAGGCAACTTCAGAATGATTCTGAAGTTAAAAAAAATTTATGACTCAAGAGATAGTATAGAAGGTAAGGTGCTTGCTTTGCACACGGCTGACTCAGTGTACAATCCCTGGCATCCCTGAGCACTGCCAGGTGATTCTCAAGTGCAGAACCAGGAGTAATCTCTGAGCTATCACTGGGTGTAACCCCAAAACTAAAAATAAATGACAAAAATACATTGATGGCTGGAGAAACAACAACCACCAAAAAATACCTCAAACTGTCAGCTAGGATTCTTGTATCTCAGGCCCAAATCCATCAAACACAATCATGACTAATTCTGGAAATGCTCCCAAGGCTGGCTGTTGTTGATGATCTTGGTATAATCTTTTATTTATATCTAATCTATTCCACAAGTTTAGTCATGTGGTTAATCAATGTCAAAAGTAATAACAAGTTATCTTAGTAAAATGCAGTGATATAAGCATATACCAACCTGTTATGTGAGACAAGCTGACCTGCAGGTAATCCAAGGCCAGGGAATCAATTACTGCTTGTACATTGTGAGCTTCATCCTCTTGACTCTTGGGAATAGTAATGAGGTCTACGGGGAAAAAAAGGTATGTAAGTTTGCATCAGGGTTCAAGTTTTCATCTGTCTCTGACCAGACTTCTGAGTTAAATGTAATTGCTACAAAAATATCTATAAAAGAAAAAAGCTCAAGAGACTGAATTCTACATACTCCTTATTGCTTAAATGTCTGTAAATATTCAACTAACGTATGTGAACAGGCTCTGCAACAAGCACCATCTTAAAGAAAAATAAGAGGTCCCCAGGGTCAGGGCTCTGGCTCCTATGTGGAGAACATATGCCCTGTATTTGTAATGACCTGGGTTAGATCCACAGCACATGTCCAACCTCAGTACCAATGGGAGTGGCCCTGTAGTCCCCATACCATTAGGTATGGCCCTCACAACTAAGAGTAACAAAGTAGAGATTCTCAGTCCAAGGAGGTGTTAAAACTCTAAAGTGAGGCAATGTGAGGTAAAACTGTAGCTCCTCCCTAACTGTGGGCTGTCTTCCATGAGATGGAAAAAAAAAATGCCCACAGCAGCTCTGAAGAAGAGTTGTTTTGTTTTTGAGTCATGCCCAGTAGTGCTTAGGGGACCATCTGTGGTGCTGGGGAGAAAAGCTAGGGTTAGTCACATGAAAGGCTATTACCTTAAGCCCTGTACCATCACTCTAGTCCCAGTTCAAAACATTTGAAAGGTCAGAATAGGACAGAGTGCAGAAAGATTTAGCTATCAAGTATTAAATTTGAGGCGGAAGATGTCTTGGGGCAGGATTTTTAAAATATTTTAATTTATATGTCTCTAACTTCTAAAAAATGTTACAACTAGTACTAAAGAAACCTGCTAGAAGCTATTCCATTATCTAAGAAGTGTGAAATCTTCCCTCATGGAAACAATGTAAGGAAGACTCAAATTTATAAAGACTGTGATATCTCATTAGGAACATAGGAAAATGATGTGGCACCCCTCAAAGAAACGACACAAGTTAAGAAATAAGACACTGGATGTATGAACCGCCTTGTTCGTTTGTAGACTACATACAGCAATGATGGCTCAGGGCTTATTACTGGCTCTGCATTCAGGAATTATTCCTGAAGGTGCACAGGGGATCATAAGGGATGCCAAGGACTGAACCCTAGTTGGCTATGTGCAAGGCAAGTGAATACCTGCTGTACTATCAATCCAGCCCCACAAACCCAATTCTTTTTTTTTTTTGAAGTAACAGATTTTTTTTTTGTTTTTTGGTTTTTTTTTTTGCTTTTTGGGTCACACCCGGCGATGCTCAGGGGTTACTCCTGGCTCATGCACTCAGGAATCGTTCCTGGCGGTGCTCGGGGGACCATATGGGATGCTGGGAATCGAACCCGTGTCGGGCATGTTGGCTGCGTGCAAAGCAAACGCCCTACCCACTGTGCTATCGCTCCAGCCCCTGAAGTAACAGATTTTATTTGAAGGATTTTTAAGGTGTGTATGTGTGTGTATGTGTGTGTGTGAGAGAGAGAGAGAGAAAGAGAGAGAGAGAGAAAGTAACGTACTCAAGAGAGAACACAGGCTTCTCCAAGGGCAGAGAGAGTCCCTACACACATCCTAGCATTAGACAGAAAAGCATGGAAGTACACATCTCAAGAGGGGAGATGCGGGCGACACATGTGCTCAGCCATGTGGGCACAAGCAGCACAAGGGCTCAGGCAGCATATGCATGCCCAAACCCAATTCTTATCCCTAGCATTGGCTAAGGAACAGGACGCAACAAAGTTCAGAATTTACAAACTTCTGAAGTACATTTATAGAAAGGTACAACTTTCATAAGTCATTAGGCATGATTCAACAGTGATGACCAGGTCCAGTCAGACTGACATAACTCTCACAGCTATTATGGGTTGGTTCCATAAGAAGTTCATTAAGGTAAGGTAATGAATATAATCATTTAAATGTAAGTATAGACAGAGAGAAGACATTCAAATATTATACCATTGATATACAGGCACAGAAATTTCTGCCATTAAGACTCAGACACCCTCTTTTTGGTGGATGTACCTTACCTGGTACCTTTTCTCCCAAAATGTATTGATAAAGAGCAATAAAAACATTAGCATCACAATCTTCCAGTTCTCGTATCCTCAGATTTATGTGACATTTCAAAAGGAGGTTATTGGCAACAGTTATCCAGTCTGTTGATAAAGGAGAGGGGAAAGCCTTGAAAAAAAAATAGTTGTATACTCCATACATTTAACACACACACACACACACACACACACTCAGTACATTTAAAACCCACACACAGGCATCGGACTCTGACGGAGATTTCAGACCATTCTAGGTAGGAGTTAATTTTTTTCATTTTTAAAGTTTTTGGTTTGGGGGGCCATACTCTAGTGACTCCCAGCAGGGCTTAGGTGCTGAAAGATTGAACCCCAGCTTCTGATGCTCTCTCTCTGGCCCCGGCATGCTTCTTGAAAAGATGTCTTTAATTCCTTTGGGTGACTTACAAGGTGCTACAAATTGGGGTAAGGGGGTACTCCTGGTTCTGGGCTGAGGAGTGACCCTCAGTGCTAGAGGGACCCATGATGAGTCCCGTAGGTTCTAACCAGAGTCAGTTGCCTGAAGTGCAAGGCAAATGCCTCAACTCCTGTGCCATGTTCTCCAGCCCAAGGCAATGTGACTTCCTGTTGTGAAAACCAGAATGAAAACACAATAGTTACTGTTGCGACCTAAAACTTTTTCCACTATAGTTATCATCGGAACCATAAGGAGCTTACTTGAACACACTTACAACGAAATGTCATAAACAAGAGTTTGTTAATGATAGCTGGACTACCAGAAACTAATTAATGAATGTCACTGCGGAGTCCCAATAGCATTGGCTATGTTTTTACCCAATTATCTCCGGCAAGCCATAATTTCTCTAGTGCCCAAAGAGGTGGTGATTAACCGAGGCTGTTAAAAACTGGAGTAAATGACACCACCAATCATGGCACTTTGTTAGTTTTAATGTATCTGACAGAGCAGAAGAGCAGAGCTGTGCCCTACCTAGCCCGGGAACTAGCACCGTCCTAGCCCTTCTGCCACCTCCCTGAGAACCAATCCGGTGGGCCTGGGACCAGAAAACGGGCGTCAAGGACGCCTGGTCCAGAAGCCCATCTGCAAGGCTTGGGACCTCTGCTCCCTGCCATGACGGGCAGTCAAGGGGAAAGACCTTCCGCTCTGGGAGGGAGCGCTCTGCAAACGCGTTCTGGAAACCCACTCCCCGCGCGGCGGGGCAAACGCGGCCCCCCGACCGGCCCGTCGCTGCGGAGAACACCAGCGCGTCCTAGACGACGGGGCTAGAGCCCGCCCGTAACCAACGGCAGCGGGCGGCCCTACGCGGGCCAGGGCGTCTGGGGGTCGGGAGTGAGTCTGTTGGGGGCGTGTGTCGGGGGGGGGGTCGTCTTCGAAGCGCCACTCCCCGGGGCACGGGCGCAACTGGGCTCTCCCGAGAACCACCAGTCCGGGGAAGATTCTCCCCCACGGCCCCTTTTGCCGGCAGGGGTTGGGGGTTTGCAAAGAACCGCGCCCGAGCTCCGGTTCCCCCACCCTGGGGAGCGGGGGCTGAGAGACCCTTCCAGAGGCGGCCGCCGATGGCTGCTGCCCGGCTTCTGTCACGACCCAGAGGACGCCGCCCCCGAGCCCTCGGGATAAAACGGGCAGGGGCGGCCCGCGGAGGGGGCCCCGGACGGCTTCAGTCCGCACACACCAGGGCTTCAGACCGAGACTCACCGGCCTCGGAGTAAGCCATGTCTCGGAAGCAGGCTGCGGCGGGAGTCGCGGGCGGGCGCGCGGGCTACGGTGTCCGGCAAGGGCCTTTCGGCGCAGACACGGCGCTGGAAGGAGGGGAAAGGAATAGGAGGCGCCAAGGAGGAGGGGGGGAAGAGGGTGGGACGTTGAAACGGCTTCTCGCCGCTGATTGGTCATCAAAGGAGCACTTCCCTTCGCCGCACGTGCCTAGACGGCGGTTTGTGGGCTTTAGATCCCATTCCCGCGGGGTAGAGCCCGCTAAGGGATTCGTAGGTCGGTGGGTTTGACAGCCCCGGGCCCCCAGCAACGCTGGCCGGGCTCTAGAGGGCGTTAGACCGGCACTTCCGGTAAGCGTCGTTCGTTTGGTATTCCTCCGCCGAGACCCAAGTGGCGAAGTAGTGCGGCCCGCTCACCCGGTGGGCGGGGCGGCCACGTGACCGCGCCGAGGCCCGCCTCCCCGTGGCGTTTGGTTAGGGGCGTGAGGACACCTCGGAGACGTAAACATCCCCGAGTGGGCAGAGTGGTTTCGCCGCCGGGCCTGGACAAGGGTGGGGTGGCTTCCTGGAGGTGCAGGGAGACGAGGAGAAGGTGAAGCTCAGAGGGTGAAGTCCGAGGCAGCCCTCGAGCGGGTGGGCGAAGCCACGAAGGGGCGACAAACGGGCGGCTCGAAGGGAGGGGCGGCGGGGGGAAGGGCGCGAACATGGCGGATTCCGGAACGCCGGCGAGCGTTGCGGCCTCTGCGCAGGGGCGGGTGATTAGGTCATAGAGCGGCTCCCAGCGTTCTCCGCGGCGGAGGAGGCGGGCCAGGTTATAAAACCGGCTGCCGGGACGCGGCCGGCACCTCATTCATTTCCACCGGTCTCTTGTCGAGCAGCTCCGGCTCCTGTCATCGCCGTCCCTCCGCCGCTGCCGCCCCCGCGAGGCTTCGTCGTCGCCGAAGCCTCCTGTAGCGACTCGTCGCTCCCTGTTTTCTCTCCGCTTCGTCCCCCGCCAACCGCAATCATTGACGCCATGTCGGGTTATTCGAGTGACCGAGATCGCGGCCGGGATCGAGGGTGAGTGTGGGCTGTCAGGGCCCGGCGGGTGGGGGAGGGGCGGCAGTCGGGGGCAGCGGCGGAGGCGGGGGCGAGTGAGGCGTTGGGCTTTCTCCCGAGCCTTTGGGGTCTCCCCCGTCGAGGATTAGGAGATTTTTGGGCTATTTACCCGAGTCGGCCCTTAGTAATTTTTTAAAGAGAATTTTTTGTTTTTCAAGTACGGGGGTGGGGGCGCAGGCGTTTTCGAGGGTTTTTTGTTTGTTTCTTTGGGGTTTTTTTTGCGGCCGCCGGGGGTGGGGGAGCCGAATTCGCAGGATTGCGTTGGGTGGGGGGCTGGGGGGGAAGGGAAGCGCGACGCTCCGCGGCGGCGCCCGCCGCGATTCGGTGCAGGCTTCGGGGGCGGCGGCGTTTGAGGGGCGTCGGGACGTCGGGGGCGCCGCGGGGGGCTCCTCGGGAGCCCCGGGGGCGGCCGGATTCGGCCATGTGGCGGAGCCGCGGGCACAAAATGCCGGCGTCGGACATGGCGGCGGCGCCTTTGTTACCCCGCCCGGCGGAGGAGCTCAAAATGGCAGCGCGGAGAAAATGTGGCGCAGAGAGAAATGCGAGACAAAGGGGGAAGCGCCGCCCCAGCGGGAACGCCGCCCGGCCGGCTCCGCCCGGGCCCGGACTCCTCCCCCGGTGGCCGCCGGCTCCTCCTTCTCTTCCTCGCGTTATATAATTGTGCCGCCTGGCTGCCGAGCCGCCGCCATGGGCCGTGCCGAGGTGGCCCCGAGACGACTGCGCGGCGGCCTCGCGCCGAGCGCTCGCCCCGGCCCTGCCCGTCGGCCACGAGAATCCGAGCGCCGGGGCCTGGGATCGGCGGGGGCGGGCAAAAAAAAAAAAAAACCCACGAAGCTGGCGCGTCCCTCAGTCCCGGTGGTGGTTCCCCAGCTCGGGGGGCGGGAGTGACTGCGCATCCCCACGCTGTCGCCGCTGCTCGGGGCACGGGGCGGGACCGAGGGTTGGCTTGGAGAAGGGGCCGCCGCTGAGGGAGGGAGCGGGATTTGGTCTCCCGTTGAGTCCCGCTTTGGGGCTTAGTTGGCTAGCACCCGGGGTGGGGGGAATCTGACAGTCAGTCTGTAAGCTCCCCTGGGTAGGCTTGTGCAAAAAACGTTGCCTTGTAAATTGCAGGTTTGGTGCACCTCGGTTTGGAGGAAGTAGGGCAGGGCCCCTAGGATCTGGAAAGAAATTTGGAAACCCTGGGGAGAAGCTAGTTAAAAAGAAGTGGAATCTTGATGAGCTGCCCAAATTTGAGAAGAATTTTTATCAAGAACACCCTGACTTGGCTAGGCGCACGGCAGTAAGTAATCTCTTGGCACTTAACTGTTCGTACATAGCATATCAAAATCTGACCAGAAATAGCTTGCGATTTGGAGGAATTGACACTTTGACACATTGTTCTTGGGGAAGAGAAAGGCCTTCTGGAAAGAAGGGATTTGGAGCTTTCTTTTTAGAACAGTTAAACTTAGCAAATGTGGATCCAGATTAAAAGTTAACCCATTTGTAATTAAGGAGCATGCAGTTGCTTTGTTTAGTTCTCAAGAGATTTACTAGCCGATGATTGTTTCTTATAGCAAGAGGTGGAGACATACAGAAGAAGCAAGGAAGTTACGGTTAGAGGTCACAACTGCCCAAAACCAGTTCTGAATTTTTATGAAGCAAATTTCCCTGGTAAATGCTTGTTTTGAGTCTACTCGTTTTTTTTAAAAAACCCTTTCCATCCCCTTGACTTTAGTCATTCTTACTAAATTATCTCAACCTACAGCAAATGTCATGGATGTGATCGCAAGACAGAACTTCACTGAACCCACTGCTATTCAAGCTCAGGGATGGCCAGTTGCTCTGAGTGGATTGGATATGGTTGGAGTAGCACAGACTGGATCTGGGAAAACATTGTCTGTAAGTTTGGGAGAAACTTTGGGTAGCCAAAAAATGGGTTGAGAAGCAAAAATGAAAAGATTTTAATATAGTTTCTGTTGCTTTCCCCTAAATAGTACTTGCTGCCTGCCATCGTCCACATCAATCATCAGCCGTTTCTAGAGAGAGGTGATGGGCCTATTGTAAGTATGTTCTGTGTGCTTGGGTAGAAGTGTAATATAAGAGCAACACATATTAAAGAATATTCTGTATAAATATTATACCCATTTGAACTGAAAGTAAAGCTGCTTTGAGTATAGGAAAGTAATACTGAAAACAGGCAATTTGAAACTAGGGTCTGGGTCTAAATTTGTTTTCTTTCTATTCCTCTTTTTCTTAGTGCTTGGTGCTGGCACCAACTCGGGAACTGGCTCAACAGGTGCAGCAAGTTGCTGCTGAATACTGTAGAGCATGCCGTTTGAAGTCTACTTGTATCTATGGTGGTGCACCCAAGGGACCACAAATTCGCGATTTGGAGAGAGGCAAGTAAAGCAAAAATTGAGTGTTTTCAACTTTGAGTTGAGTGTTCTGTGTTTTCATGAAACTTCTATGTTAAAATTGAAGGTGTGGAGATCTGCATTGCAACACCTGGGAGACTGATCGACTTCTTAGAGTGTGGAAAAACTAATCTGAGAAGAACCACCTATCTTGTCCTTGATGAAGCAGATCGAATGCTTGATATGGGCTTTGAACCCCAAATAAGGAAGATTGTGGATCAGATAAGAGTACGTATCTCATATTTTCAAATGGAGCTGCTGCTTTTTAATTCTGTGAATAATACTATAATTTAATTGTAAAATTCTTCAGCCTGATAGACAAACCCTAATGTGGAGTGCAACTTGGCCAAAAGAAGTGAGACAGCTTGCTGAAGATTTTCTGAAAGACTACATTCATATAAACATTGGTGCACTGGAACTGAGTGCAAATCACAACATTCTTCAGATTGTGGATGTGTGTCACGATGTGGAAAAAGATGAAAAGTGAGCTTTCTGAGTCTCTACTTTAAAACCACTTTGTTTAGGAATTAAAAGTATCTGGTTACAGATTATCCTTAAATGCCACCTTTGGATAGGTCTGGATCTGTTAGTTAAAAGTAGTCTTTCCCCAAATTAAGTTGCTTCCTTGGTTGAGGGAGGTATGTGGTATTAAGAAAGAAATATACTGATTGGTTTATTTACCATTCGTGGGTAGAATTGCATGATCAGCCATCAGTAATCAGGTGTTTTCTTTAAGATCATTTACAGTGAATGAACTTTTTTTCTTCCTCTTTAAGACTTATTCGTTTAATGGAAGAGATCATGAGTGAGAAGGAGAATAAAACCATTGTTTTTGTTGAAACCAAAAGAAGATGTGATGAACTTACTAGAAAAATGAGGAGAGATGGGTATGCTATTTTTCCTCCATTGAAATCATATTAGAGCTAAGGAATTTCTGGAAGACAGTATCTTAGTGGATTTGGGTTTTCGTAAATGAAAATAGTGTGGTGTGGATAAACACTGAAATTTAAAGGGATTGGTGACTAAAAATGGTGAAACGTTTTGATTATTAATCTCTTAAGGGCTTAAGTTATGAGGACACTAACGAAATCTTCCTTTCATAATACAGGTGGCCTGCCATGGGTATCCATGGTGACAAGAGTCAACAGGAACGTGACTGGGTTCTAAATGGTAACACATCTCAACAAAAATTTCTTGAAATTTTCTCAATCTGGATCCAGACAAGATGAGTAATAATACATTATTTCTTATTTTGCAGAATTCAAACATGGAAAAGCTCCTATTCTGATTGCTACAGATGTGGCTTCCAGAGGGCTAGGTTAGTACAAACTCGCATTCATGGCTTGATTATCCAGAAGATCTCCATATAATTTTTTTTAAAGAAAGTTTATTGCTTTCTTTAACCTCTGCATTTTTCTAAGTTTTTTTCATATAAAGGTGCAGTCTTTGTGGCAAGGCCTAGGCATGACAATCGGAGGACTCGAGGGGGATGGAGGACTAGTGGTCGGCTGGCTGCTTCCAGTCGATTAGAGAGGTGAAAAGCTGAAAGTGTGCCAGTAACCTTCAAAAGGCAGAGCATACCACCTCTGCCTCGTAAACTGTTCTCTCCGGGGGAAAAAAATGGAAGTTATCCTCACAGTTCACTGCCGTGGTATTTCTTCTGTCCCATGCTTTGCATGACTGCCATGGTACAGCATTGTCTCAAACTGTTTACTGTGATCTGTGGGTCTTTGAGTTTCAGTGAGTTTGCTGAAATGTCGAAGAAATATTTCCAAACATCAATGTACAATGAAATTTTTGTTCAAGTTTGAAATGGAGAGAGCAGCTTTAAAAGGTACTAAAGCCTTTTACAAATTGGTGAGTACTGGCACATGAGATAATCTAGAGCAGGAACAACTTCTCACACCTAGTCAGTGGGAAAAGAAAAATGCCATGAAAGTTCCTCCCTCACCTACACAGTAGTCGTCATGTCGAGACCTGCCAGAGAGAGACACATTCTCAAGTGAATCCTGGCTTCTTGGAAGCGCTTGCCTAGACGAGACACAGTGCATAAAAACAACTTTTGGGGGACAGGTATGTTTTTCTTGCAGCTGCAGTTGTAAGGTCTTGGCAAGACAAGCAGTGTGGCCAGAATTTCAAACTACTGTCGTGTGTATACATACAAAGGACCATGTGCAATTTTGTTTAAAGGTCCTCAAAATGAGCACATGAAGAGGTTGCTGTGAACCTTTTAAGTGGCCCTACTGCGCAGAAGCATTCAGATGTCACTTGATGATCTGTAAGGGGACTTGTGATTTAGAAATGTTCTAGAGAATACACTTTGACAGGCTTTCTCCATTGGGCGGGTTCTAAGACATACTGATGACTTGTGCTTTTTTTTTTTCCCCCTTTTTCCCCCCCTCTTTCTTCAACCTCAATGGTAATCCTACAGGGATTGGATAACCATTTTAACTATTTTTTGCAGCCCATACCTTCTTGGGAATACAATTGTCTAACTTTTTATTTTTGGTCTGGCTGTTGTGGTGTGCAAAACTCCGTACATTGCTATTTTGCCACACTGCAACACCTTACAGATGTGGAAGATGTGAAATTTGTCATCAATTATGACTACCCTAACTCCTCAGAGGATTATATTCATCGAATTGGAAGAACTGCTCGCAGTACCAAAACAGGCACAGCATACACTTTCTTTACACCTAATAATATAAAGCAAGTGAGCGACCTTATCTCTGTGCTTCGTGAAGCTAATCAAGCAATTAATCCCAAGTTGCTTCAGTTGGTCGAAGACAGAGGTTCAGGTAAGGCCAACCTTTCATTAGAAATGTTTGGAGTCAAATGATGATGAACATTAATTTAAAATGGGATCAGTGGTCAGTAAAATTTGTGAAGCTGAACCCTTAATACCTATTAAATTGAATTATTGGTGATGGTTTGTAAAATCAATCTGCAATTTTTTTTATCTTGACAGGTCGTTCCAGGGGTAGAGGAGGCATGAAAGATGACCGTCGGGACAGATACTCTGCGGGCAAAAGGGGTGGATTTAATACCTTTAGAGACAGGGAAAATTATGACAGAGGTTATTCTAGTCTGCTTAAGAGAGATTTTGGGGCAAAAACTCAGAATGGTGTTTACAGTGCTGCAAATTACGCCAATGGGAGCTTTGGAAGTAATTTTGTGTCTGCTGGTATACAGACCAGTTTTAGGACTGGTAATCCAACTGGGACTTACCAGAATGGTTATGATAGCACTCAGCAATATGGAAGTAGTGTTCCAAATATGCACAATGGTATGAACCAACAGGCATATGCATATCCTGCTACTGCAGCTGCACCTATGATTGGTTATCCAATGCCAACAGGATATTCCCAATAAGACTTTAGAAGTATATGTAAATGTCTGTTTTTCATAATTGCTCTTTATATTGTGTGTTATCAGACAGGATAGTTATTTAAGAAACATGGGAAATGCAGAAATGACTGCAGTGCAGCAGTAATTATGGTGCACTTTTTCGCTATTTAAGTTGGATATTTCTCTACATTCCTGAAACAATTTTTAGGTTTTTTTTGTACTAGAAAATGCAGGCAGTGTTTTCACAAAAGTAAATGTACAGTGATTTGAAATACAATAAATGAAGGCAATGCATGGCCTTCCAATAAAAAATATTTGAAGACTGAATTAAGTGGAAATTGTACTTTATTTTACATATGTCATGTAAAACTTTAGATTGTCTGTTCCTTTTATCTAAATTCTACAGGCTTTAGTTTTGGGAATTGGTGAGATCAGAGGGTCCATTTTACAAGTTAAAATGGAATTGATACAGGTAATTTTATAATTCTATGCTAAATTACAGAGGCCTTTTGTCAGTACCTCCCAATATCAGGTGAGTCTTACAGTGTCAGCAGAATGGTGAAATGAGTACATAGAAAAAAACAGGAAATAGCCTCACCCTCAAACTTGGTGTGAGAACATGACTTCCTTTTTTTAAAACTTGTTTTTCAAATTCATGCTCTTGGCTCTTGTGAATTGCTGAAATGTTAGGCAGAAGTTAAGATACTACCATTTAAGATGGTTGATACAGCCAAGCTGGAAGTTCATTTCTTAGCACTCATTATATGTAGACTCGAGTCTTAAGCTTCAAGGGGCTCTTGACTAGTCACACTTGGGAGTCATGAATGTCTCTTCAACAATTCAGGGAATCTTAGAAGACTTAAAACTGGATTTCAAATGAATCCAAATAGTAAAGTTCCGGTTGGTAATGAAGAGGGAGCAACAGAACCAAAAGCACACAGAGACAGTACAAGTCATCTTCTAGGGTTGATAATGGGCTTTTAGTGTTAGAAGGATCCAGGGAGTGGCTGTGAAAGATGGCCTCACCAACCTTTCTAATCCTTTATTTCAGTAATGACTAGAGAAGTAGGTATAACTGTCTACAGAGAGTTAGTAATTCTATGTCAACTTTTTGCCAGGAGTGAAGTCTTCATGAGAGACTTCATTTAAAGTCAGATTATTAAATTGAGGCTTTAATTGGTGTTACAGCCTTATCTCTAAAATGTAAACCTATATACGTTGGGGGGGGGAGTTGGAGTGTATTTTTAGGACTAATACATTGAAAACTGGTTCAGCCTCACTAATAACTTGAACTGTTTTCAATAGCATGGTTAGTCAATTCACTATGATCTAACTTGCAAAAAGCTTTTGGGGTAGGTTGGAGCATTTATTACGTATTTTACTGTTTGGTGTCTAAACGTGGGCCTTTTAATTTGTAAAACTGAAATATTGTGGGGCTGTGAAAAACATTTACCTATTTACCTTTGAAGTAAGTTTTGAAAGACAGTCCACTTTTTAGCATGTATGTTGTGTCCAGCCTGTGGTTGTCTTAACTAATAAATGTGACTTTTTCTCCCCATTCTCTCTTTTATTTATTTGCGTATAGGTCTCCCGTGTTTTCTGAGTGGAAAACACAGTAGTAAATAGCCCACTGTTGTAGTTAATAAGCGTTCTGACAGTACTCTCTGATTTTTTTTCTTTACAGTTTTACAAATTTGTTCTCATGCTTGTATGGAATGAATCCTAATAAAAAAAAATGACATAAGTTTTTTTAACTGCTCCTCTATTAACTTGCGTAGGCATTTATTGCCTCTCTTCGTGAACTATGCATGTTGGTAGTATTGTAGAATGTTGATCCCTTCCACCTGCATCAAAAGGTTTCAGTTTTCAAGAGAGAAGTGAGAATTGAGTTTGAAATGAGGACACAAGAAAGTAAATAAGCCTGTTTAGTCTTAAATCTTAAAAGTCCCGTTCACATTTTGGTGGATCCTTAGAAGGGTCTTAAGATCAGGAAAGTGCTGATTATCATGGTTATCGTAGCCCCTTTCAGTGGACAGCTTCTTAGAAAACATGCATGTTTTGGACTCCACATGATTCCTGTAGAGGGACTGACCCTGAGTAAAACCGCTCCAGTCAAGTTCTATAAAAGCTGCTTACAAGCACTTCCCATCCTCTCCACCCCTTGAGGACAAGAACTGGGAGGGGCGTGCGGAGGGGTAAACACCCTGGTGGCCGTTTGTAGCCAGCGCTGGGAGTCAAGCTTGGCTTGGTCTTGCGGCCCTGAAATGACGGAGCTTTAGAGAAAGCGTTTCAGTGGACAGGCGGTAAAAGTAGCGTCCACGTCATACTTGGAGAAGCGGGGCCGGCAACAACTACACAGGGAGTGTGCCGAAGGCTGATTGGAAACTACTGGGACGCTCTGACACCGCCGCGGGTGGACTAGGCCAGGCCGGCTCGGGCCGGGGCCGAAGCTCCGTGACGCGCTTCCGGGGGCGGGGCCGGGGCCTTCAGACCCGCGTGCTTCCGTCGCGCCTGCGCAGTGGCTCTCGAGGGCCCTGGTTGGGGCCGTTGACTGCGATCGACCCGCTCTGGAGCGCTGCGCGCCGCACCGTGGAAGGCGATGCGCACGGGGGCGGCCGTCAGGGCCGGCCGGAAAGTCTGCAGGTGCCTGCTGTCTGGGTTCGGTGGTCGTGTCGGCGGGGGCCCCCCGGAACGGTGGACGCAAGAGAGGGGTCTTGCCTCCGGAGGGCCGCCGGAGCCGCCCCGGGGGAGCGAGCCGGACAGCGAGGCGCTGCTCGACGTGTGCCAGAGACGGCATTTCCTCAGTGGCACCGGGCCGCCGCCCCGCCGAGCCGAGCTGCTGAGCGGGCACCACCCCGGCCTGGGCCCGCTGGGCGTGGAGCTGCGCCGCAACCTCGCGGCCGAGTGGTGGGCGGCGGTGGTGGCGTCCCGCGAGCTGGTCTTCCCCGTGGCCGCCCGCCACCACGGCCACGGCCACGGCCCCGCGCCGCCCGGCCAGCGCGCCTTCAGGTTAGTCCCCGCAGAGTCTCTCCGCGCACTCTTGCAAGACAAAGACCTGAGTAAGGAACAGCTAGTAGCAATGCTTGAGAACTTGTTAGAAACTTCTGGGAAGCTCCGGGAGACCCTCCTGCACGGTATGCCTCACCATTTCTTGCTTCCACATAGTGTCGGGGTGGAAAAAAACCAAAACATTCTCGCTCGATTTCGGGGACGGAGACTGGCCCTTTGTTCACGTGCTACAGAAGTCACCTGGTCCTCGTCTTTTGGAAGTAGGCGGGTGAGTCCTAACCGAGGCTTCATCCCTGGAGCAAACCGGCCGGTGGAATCGGTAAACTGATCCCCAAAGGATCCGTGTCAAGTACCCAGGACGCGCCCATTTCCACGGGGCAGCCCTAGAACTTTCACAGTCCGGTTGGGCATCCTGCCTTTAGGACCCAAGTTAAATCACGTGTTTGAATCATTGCTTCTTCGCCCAAGTGTTTTACAGATACTTGCACAGTGATGTCTCCATCTCAACACGCGATAAAATTAAACAAAACCTCACTTTTCTAGAGAAAAAAAAAGCCTCCCCCTCTCCTGCGAGTTTTACTTATTCAGCCTAATTTTGTACTCTTGTTTAAACAGCCCTTTAGGTAATTTTTGACTCTGTAGAAGCTTCGTAAGTGACACAGTGAATACACTCAAAAATACACAAAATTCAGGGGAAAATCAGCATGTTCTTTGCAGGATGAGTTTGCCAAGATTCTGACTATCAGTTTTCATTAAATGGTATTATTAATTTAATCATGTTCATGGTTCCCTGAAAATTAGTGCCCATGTTGTAATCCACTTAGAGATTCCCTTAACAAAATAAAAATTGGGGAGTTTGGGGCCTGAGCAATAGTACAGTAGGTAGAGTGTGTGCTGTACGTGACCCATCCAGGTTAAAATTTCAGCATCCCTTATGGTCCCTTGAGCACCATCGGGAATGGTTCCTGAGTACAGAGACAGTAGTAACCAGGAGCATCTTTGGGTCACTGTCACTGTCCTCCTGTGTTCATCAATTTGCTCGAGCAGGCCCAGTAACGTCTCCATTGTGACAACTGTTACTGTGTTTGGCATATCGAATACGTCACGGATAGCTTGCCAGACTTTGCCGTGCTGGCGAGATACTCTCAGTAGCTTGCCGGGCTCGCAGAGAGGGGCGGAGGAATCGAACCTGGCTCGGCCAGGCCGTTCGCGTACCAGGCAGACTCCCTACTGCTGGGCTATTGCTCCAGCCCCATCTTTTGGGTATGGCCCCCAAACAATTAAAACAAAACATGGAAAGTTTGACCATTTTGATTTGTACTACCTTTTTAATAATTCTATGATGACTTGACTTAATTGGAGTTAAATCACTGCTAATTACCGTCCAAAACAAATAAAATTTTTCTTCCCTAGTAGAAAATGAAAACTCATTCATCCAAGCATCTTGAAAACGTAAGCCTACTTATTATCCAAATTCTTTGGTTGTCTCATGTTTCAGTTACATGGTTTATTGCTGACTTCTATTTACAGCGTCCTTGTGTATGAATTCTTGGGATAGCCTCTGCTTATGAATAGTTTTTTTACATTCTGTCATTGTCTTCAAATATTTCTGCCCCATTCTTTCTTTTATCCTGGTTTTATTTATTTATTTATTTATTTTTGGTTAGGGGACCACATCCATTGATGTCCTGGGGCTACTTCTGGCTTCATGTTTGGGAGACCAGGCGGTGCCTGGGATCAAACCTGGGTCTCCTCATGCAAATGGAGATGGATTAGCTTTTCCGCTCTCTCTACAGCCCTTTTTCCCCCCACTGAACTCATTACACGGGTTAGATTTTTCCCTCCATTTTTCAACTTTTAAGCATCTTTTTGGGGGGTACTGGGGGCACCACCCTCAGCTATACACCTGGCTTACTTTTGGCTCTGTGTTCAGGTAACTCCTGGTGGGACTCAAGGGACTATATATGATGCTGGGGATTGAATCTGAGTCAGCTGTCCTAACTTCTTTACTGTCTCCTCTGGTCCCTCTCGAACACCTTTCTAAATCTCAAAAAACAAAAAATCTGATTCTAGAATGTATTTTCCTCAAGATTATTTCTCTTCCCTCTCTTTCCCTTCTCCTCCATCCCCTTCTCCCTCCGCCCCCTCTTCCCTTTTTTTTTTTTTTGTTGGTCATTTGAACTTTTCTCCTGATAGTCTAGGTAACTTGAATATCAAAGTTGTAGAGGACTGAGGCTGTGGGGCATTTCTCTGTCTGTAGGGTATGCCTTTGCTTGTTGCAGGCAGCTAGCATGGAGCCCATCTTACTGCAGCTCAGGATTCAGGTCACTTGGAGGCTACAGGTTCAGTCTTTCCTCTTCCCCCCTGCACCCAAGGAGGAGGACTTTGAAGGAGACCTTGAACTCAGGGAATCATATGAGGTGCCAGGGATTAAACTTGGGTCGGCCTTGTGTAAGGCAAGAGCTCTACCTACTATACCGTACTATCTCTTTGGCTCCAAATCTTGGTTTCTAATGTAAATCGGTGCCAAAGGAATTATTGATTCCAGATCTGGGACAGAGAAAGTACAAGGCACGATTGGCCCATTTTATGGTTCTAGAAGTCAAAGAATTAAAAGACTAGTAGGATCCTGTCAAAGAGACATAAGCTGATTTAAGGAAAGCTCCCACCGGCTAAATTTGAGACAAATCTACCATTAAATGTTCATGCTAATCTATCATAATCCATTGAATAAAATTAAGAATCTCATCAAGAAAACAAAGCAAAGGAGCTGGAGTGATAACACAGCCGGGTAGGGATTTGCCATGCCCACACAACCCAGGTTGACCGCACCAACCCAGGTTGATCAGTATCCCTGAGCAGTGGGATTACCAGGGATCAGGATTAATTTTTGAGTACAGACCTTGGAGTAACCCCTGAGCAATGCTGGGTGTGGCCCAAACACAACAACAAGAAAAACCAAAATAAAAGCAACAAAAATCTGTTGTTTTGATTTAAAAAATTAGACTCAGGATCAGAGCGATAGTACAGGGGGTAAGAGGTGCTTGCCTTGCATGTACCAGGCCAGATTCGGTCCACAGCACCAGTACCCCATACTGCTCCCTGATTCTCCCCAGAAGTGGTCCCTGAGTGCAGACCCAGGAGTCACCGTGAGCACTGCAGGGTGTGCCTCCTTCCCCCCCCCCAAAAAAAAATAGGCATGGACTGGAGAAATAATAGAGGAAGTAAGCGCTTGTCTTGCATGCAGCTGACCTTGATTGGTGCAAATCTTGGCACCACATATTGGCCCCCAAGTACCACCAGGAGTGATTCCTGAACAGAGTAAACCCTGGGCATAACTAAATATGACCTAACCCCTAACCACCTCCTACTCTTACCCCACTCTGCCCCCCAAATTAGGCTGGTGGCAGAAAAGTAATGTCAATTTTATTTACGCACACACAAAACACAAACCTCCCTGTCCTCCAGCCCTTTGGCAGTGACGATCAAAGCTAGGGATTCAGAGACAGTGCAATCCATCTAATGCTGAACCACATCCCTGGTCCAGTAGAAAGTGTGTGTGGGGTTGGGGCATTGGGGGTGTTGCAGGGTAAGGGGCACACCCAGTTGTATTCATGGTCTGCTCTGACCTAACAGCCCAGGAGGCCGTGCGGTGTTAGGGACTGAACCCGGGCCTCTGGAATGCATAGGAATGCATTCCAACCCCAAGCTTTCTGGAAAGTATTTTTCCAAAAAGTATTTCTCGTGAAGTTATGCAACAAATATAGAAGGAATGATAGAAAAAAATCTCAACTTCATGATGTTGTAACCCCCAGTATAATAAATAAGAAACAGCACCGGGAGATCTCTCTCCTCCCTACCCTTCCCCTTATTTCCTAAATCAAACCATTCTACTAACTCCTGGCTCTGAACTCAGGGGTCCTGGTGTGCTCGGGGACTATATATATGGGGTGCTGGGGACTATACCATGATTGGCTACGTGCAAGGCAAGCGCCTTACTATCACTGTCAGTACTCTCACTCCAGCCCCCTAAAACTATTATGCTTTTTAAAAATTAGGGGGCTGGAGCAATAGCAAAACAGGTAGGGCATTTGTCTTACACGTGGCCAACCCGGGTTCAATTCCCAGCATCCCATATGGTTCCCTGAGCACCCCCAGGAGTAATTCCTGAGTGCAGAGCCATGAGTAACCCCTGTGCATCACCAGGTGTGACCCAAAAAGTAAAAAAAAAAAAAAAAAAGGATTGAGAGCTACCTCAGTGGGCTGGAACAGGGTGTGCATGAAGGAATCTCCAGCACCGCATGGCTCCCCACCCTCCCGGGCACAGCAAGGAGCAACCCCTGAGCACAGAGCCTGCGGGACCCCTTGAGTATTGCCAGTTGTGACACAAAAGTGTTTAAAAAATTTTTTTTGTACCTTGGGCGAAAGATTATTGGAGAATAAATATTCTCTACCTTGAAGTGGGTAATAAAACGGGTTTTTTTAGTAGTGGGATAATTTGATATAATGTTCCTCCTGTTGGGAGTCAATAAGACACATATCAACTATGATGTGATATTTATCTTTGCTAAAATGATTAACCTAAATTAAATCGTAAGGAAATAATTACACCGATCTCTATCTAATATGAAAGATTCCGTAGCTGAACTAAACTCCAATCAAAAGTCAGTGGCACTGGGGCCAGAGTGACAGTACAGCGGGTAAGGTACTTATCTTGCAGGAGACTGACCTAGGTTTCATCCCAGTACTCCATATAGTACCCTGAGCCCCGCTAGCTATGACCCCAAAACCAAAAAGCCGTGCATGAGGCCGACAGGGTTTGATCCCTGGCACCCCATATGGTCCCCTGAGCCTGCCAGGAGTGGTCCTCAAGCACAGAGCAGCCAGGAGGAAGCCCTGAGCACTGCCAGGTGTGGCTCAAAAGTAGCGATATAAAACCAAAACCAACCAAAGAGGAAGGCGCGTGGGAAGAGTGTAATGTTGAGGTTAAGCCGTATGCCTTTCATGCATTCAGCCTGTTTGCCTGATGGCCCCTGAGCAGTACTTTGTGTAGCCCTGCGGGGCCCCATGCACCTGGCACCATAGAGGGCTTCCTGAGCACTGCTGGGGATCCTCCATCCCTCCTTCCCCGAAATAAAATGGTAGAGAGGGAGGACTGGATTTGGTGAGATCCAAATGCAGTGTGACTTTATGTCATTGTTTTGCTATGCTGTGCAGGGAATGGAACCCAGGGCCTCACATATGCAATACAAGGGCTCTACCACTAAGCCACATCCCCTCGTCTAGTGCATGGACCTTAATCAGGGATAAAGAACAGCAGTAAGTAACATTTTGGGGAGAAGTAGCAAGAAATAGGCTGTCAGGTATTAGGTAGAATTGTGCTAGCGTGTTTAATTTTTTTTTTTTTTGGTGTGCTAATGGTATGCAGAGAATATGTTTAACTTCTGAAGAGATGCTGAAATGTTTTGGAGTGAACAAGAAAAAAGCATGGCAAATGTTGGCAATTGGTCTAGGTGAAAGGTTTACAGAATTTTTTTTTTTTGTACTTTTCAATTTGTGGATTTTAAAATTTCCCCCAAATTGGGGAAAATTCCTAAAATAAGTGGTAACCAATCCAGATCGACCTTATTAGATCCATGCTACTAGAAACTGCTGTGTTCGCATTGTCATGTTACTTATCAAAATTAGCAACATAGCTCAGGACTGTAGACTAGATTGATCCAGGGGTTGGTGTGTCTTTTGACAGGTGCCTTGGAACATTATGTCAGTTGCCTGGATCTGGTAAACAAGAGACTCCCCTATGGGCTTGCTCAGATTGGAGTATGTTTTCGTCCGATTTGCGATACCAAATCAACTGCTGAGGGTGTTAAGGATACCACATCAACTGCTGAGGGTGTTAAGAGGTACAAAGCGTGGCAAATTACTTGACCTTGTGTTTAAGTGACCACAAAGCAGTCATTTTTTTTTTTTACTTTGGGAAAGATGATGTGATTTTCAAATTAGTTAATATTTACCGTTTCTGATCTCCAAAGAATTGGTGAGACGACAGAAGCTTCGCTGGTATGGTTTACTTCAGCACGAACTGCAAGCCAGTGGCTTGACTACTGGTTACGGCATCGACTCCTGTGGTGGAGAAAGGTAGTATAATAATTAACCTTCATCTACTAGTTAGTAACTAATTATTTAATGCGTTCTCTGTAATAAGTGGAATTTTATATGATGTAGCTATGTTATGAGAGGTAAGTTAAAATAAATCAGCAGATACAAACGAAAAACCCTAGTGATTCCCATTGTTCCATGTAATAGCAACTTTGGTAAACATGTCTGTTATCTCGCTATTGCTTAGAACCTTTTGTTGATAAGCCTTTACTTTCCTGATAAAGTTCAAATTCCTGCCCTGTCATGAGTGGTTGATGGAGAGTTTGAGCTTTGCCCACCACTCCTTTAGCTTTTACTTTCGTGTCCTAGCACTGAACTCCCTGTTAAATAGTTCTGTAATTTACAATCAAGTTTTGGTATATACTGGAGGTAAAAGAGTTGAAATATCAGCATTTTTGTCTCACCATTCTTGTTTTTCTCCAACTCCTAAAATCCCTGGGCACTTACCTAAATAAAATGCAGTCACCACAAATAGTTAAACACTTTGTCAAAAAACTAAGAATGGTGAGGGCTGGAGAGAGGTCCAAGGGCTGAGTGCATGATATGTATGCAGAGGGCCTGGTTTGATCTCCAGTACTGCATAAGGTTACCTGAGCACTGCTAGGAGAGATCCCTGAGCACAGAGTCAAGAAGCACCCCAAGACCTCCAGGTGTGACCTGAAACCAAAAACAATAAACAATAACTAGTGAGTGTGTGATGCTTTCTGCTCTGTTAGTTCCCGGTCACCTTCCCTTTTTACTAACCACAGAAACGTACATTGGGGAAAAAAAACAGATTTTTTTTTTAATTCAGTCTGTGAGGAATATTTTTTAGCAGTGTATACATTCATGCTTAATTAAAACCTTTAAAACCTTGCCATTTTGGAATTTGACAACCTTCATTCAGTTGTTGCATGAAGAGTCTCGGTCAGGGGGCAGGGAACTGACTCAGGGCTGGAGCCCAGGAGCCTCAGTTCTGGTAGCTGAGCACCCCTGGGAGCAGCCCCCAAGCCCTACCAGTGTGGCCACAAAACAAAACAAAGCAAGAAAAAGTCTCAGGCAACTTACTCCCATTTATTCCAGTTGATGAGACAAACCACCTTTCTTTTCCAGTTTGCTGCGAGTCCCTCTAACTTCAGCAGCGGCGATTGTGAGGATGAAGAGGGACGAAAAGGAATCAGCCTTTACTACAGTTTTCCCTGGGGGAAGGAGCCAGTAGAAACCTTGTGGAATCTGGGGGATCAAGAGCTTTTACGCATGTCTCCGGGAAACGTGTCTCAATTGCACGTATGTTTGACCCTTGGCGCCTGTGGACCCGTTATCCAGTTCTCTGTGACCAGAAAAATAGTAATCCACTGAGACCATCCTGTCTACAGAAGTCTCCACAAGTGACAGATTGTCCCCAAGTATCCTTGATGAGCCCAGTAGGTCTCATAAGGATCTCGTGCCCTCATATTTTCTGGGGAAAGGTCATATCGCCTCCATCCTAGTCTCCATCTTTCCTGAGCTTCATAACCTTGGGGGGATTTGGGGAGAAATCCAGGCCAGTTGCTTTGTAGAATGGCCCTCAGTTTGGGTAGCTCTGATCTTCCAGTTGCTTTGTAGAATGGTCCTCAGTTTGGGTAGCTCTGATCTTCATGATTCAGATCTTTTTCCTTAGGAATAGCTCTTCTCAGTGCATCTGATAACATCTGGTTTCCAGTGTGTGTGGGGGGAGGGGCGGGGGGGTCCCAGGACTGAATGCACAGCCTCACACATACACAGCGTGTGTTCTACCACATTCCCAGCCCTAATAATAATAACCTTTGCCACTCGCTAATATGGTAGTGACCAGGGCTCTCCAATATAAAGTTGATTGTATTTAGTAATGATATAATGGAGTTTCTTAATTCACAAAGTCTGTGTTATGACTTTATACGTTTTAGTAGGTAACTTTCAGGGATAGTTCTATGAAATGATACTTTATTTTTTCTGTGTTTCTGTCTAGGGTCGAGATGGACGAAAAAATATCGTTCCTTCTGTTTTATCCATAAGCGGAGACCTGGATCGGGGGATGCTGGCTTACCTCTACGATTCTTTCCAGCAAACAGATAACTCATTTACAAGAAAGAAAAATCTTCATAGAAAGGTGCCTTTGATATTTCTGATAGACTTTGGAAACTGAAAGTGTATGCTGCCCCCTTTTTTTTATGTTGGTGTGTTTGTTTTCTACAAAAAACTTGAATAATTTATTGGAGGGCCTCCTAAGTGATATTCCCAAGAGTACCAAGAGAGTGGGGTGGGGGGAATGCATCCTCAACAGCACCCAGTCACCCAGGCCTGGCATTCAGTGCTTGGGCCCCAGGATGTGAGATGTGGTACTGCTCGGGTCTTGCAGTACTGAGACCTCCAGGGCTACCCCAACAACACTTGGGGGTTTCCAGGGACCATGTGTTGCCGAGGATCCAACCGGGGTTCTTTCTCCCCAGCCCCAATAATAGATTTCTTTTAGTGCTAGTAACTTTGGGTTTAGAATCTGACTTCAGGACTGAGCATGTTCTCATAAATGAGAACAATGCATTCCTGTTTGGGTACCAGGCAGCTCGATGCCACTCTCTGAGTCTTCCCCTGCATTTCCAAGAAATGGCACTCTCCGTTTCTTCCAGAAGCTGAACTTGGCCCTATGGGTGTTAGAAGGACGGAGCCCAGCAGCACTTGTGGGCTTGACTTGGCTGCTCCAATCAACCCACAGGAGGCTCTTTCTATGGTCACAGGAGCTAGGTGCAGGATTGGGGCGAGGGAAAAATTTTGCTTATTTTAGATAGTTTAAGCATTTATGTGGGCTCAGAATCAAAAGAGAGAGGGGCTGGAGCTATAGGACAGCAGACAGGGCACTTGACTTGCACGTGGCCAACCTGGGCTCAATCCCCGGCACCCCATATGGTTCAGGAATGATCCCTGAGTGTAGAGCCAGGACTAACCCCTGAGGAAAAAGAAAAGAATAGAAGAGTTAAAGCTACAAAAAGAAAATAGCTGACTAATTAAGCCAGATTTTGGAAGAAAAAGGAGGAGAATCAGAGTGGGCTCAAGAGTACACGTGGAGGGATTCATCTTGACAAGGAGTTATTTGAAAGAGCAGGAGAGAAAGAGGTGATGGGAGAGATACAAATAGGCTCCCAGGCCGCTGAAAGATGTTTTCTCATACCCTCTATTTTCTCAAGTTAGGAAACAAAATTATTAGCTTAAAATGTAGGGGGGAGAGAGGGTGTGAGTGACTAGGGTTTAAAATGGGATCAGGACCAAAGCAGTAGTACAGCAGCCGGAGCTTGGCTTCATTCAGCTGACCTGGGTTTGGTCCCCAGCACTTCATATGGTCTCCCAAGAATTACCACCAAAAAACAAACAAAATAGAATTTCTTCACAGTGTCTCAAAGTGTGCTATACCACGCCCTGTGGGAGGTAGTTGCAGATACAGCTGGAGGGTAGCAGGGGATGGGTACTTTCCAGGGTACTTTCCAGGGTTCCTCCCAGTGATTTCTTTCCTGGTAGGGGGTGACGAGCTGAATGGGTTTGGGACCCCCTGCCGGGGTGCTAGGATGTGATCAGGGAGTGCCCAAACAGGCTGGAATGTGGCCTGTTGAATGTGCTCAGCTCTGGCGCCACTGTCCGGGTGGGTGACCTGTGCGGTGCTGACTGACCAAATGGCCGGAAGCTGCCTTCACCCCTCATCCAGATTGTTAGCAAAACCTGTCCGAATCCACCTTCACCAGGGAGCCTGAGTCTGGCCATTGCTTTCCTTTGGGGTGGGCAGGTATTGTGTATGGGCCCCCAGGGCCTCACACCTGCAGTGCAGCACTCTGCCTGCCCCGCTTTTAATTCTGGCCGTTGCTTAGCACCTCCAGCACCCCCACTCCGCCTCCTTCCGTGGAGTGGGCCTTGGAAAGGGACCTGTTTTGCCTTGGGCTGGGTCTCTGCCACCACAGCAGTGACCTCTGAACTCTAAACTGGAAGTAACAGCCGAGTACAGCCAGTGTGGCCCCAGTGCAAACAAATACTCCAGCAAACGCCTCATCAGAGGAAAAGCCAAGGCTTCTAAAACTGTTGGGGTTTTCTGTTTGTTTGAGGGCCACACCTGGATCGTGCCCCGGGCACCATGCAGTGCCATGGGTCAACTGGGTTGGTCACATGCAGAGCACCCGGCTTCTCACTGGCTGCTTGTGGCTCCATAATCGCTGAATGATCTCTGAGCACAGCCAGGAGTAAGCTCTGAGGACCACCTGGTGTGGCCCCCAGATTACAAAATCAAAGCCACAATTTTAAAAATGCACATTTCATTTAGGTCAAAAGAAACTTGGAAAAATTGATCTTCTCCACCAAATACTATAGCCATATTTTCATATTAATCCTGATAACCCACAAAACACTTATTTTATTTCTTTTTTAAATGTTTTATTAGTGAATCACCTTGAGGTACAGTTACAGATTTACAAACTTTCATGCTTTCGTTTCAGTCATACAATGATCCCTCCAGCAGTGCCCATTTCCCACCACCAATGGTCCCAGCATCCCTCTCATCACTCCCACCCTGTCCCCCCCACCCCATCCCACCTCTGTGGCAGGGCATTCCGTTTTCCTCTCTCTCCTTTTGGGACAAAACACTTATTTTCGAGGTCTTCCAGTTTTTGCCTTGAAATCAAGACAAGGCAGTAGATGTTGTTACGGAGAAAAGACAGAAGGAAACAGATAACTCAGTTATCAGTATCCACGGCTTCTGGTCCTTGACCAGGAAAGAGTCGTTCGACATATCCCAGCTGTGAAAGCCTTGGGGAGTGTCCACGGATGAGCCCGGGGCCTGGCCTGAGTAGGGAGAGCAGTGATGCAGGACGGGAGAAATGAAGGTGTGGGAAATGGCAGGAGTCCCAAGCAGGACGTGGGGGAGCCACAGAGCGTTGCCCACCTTTCCTCCCACAAGACACCTGTCACTGAGCAGCCCGTGCTAGGTGGTACTTGGCCACGGTTAATGAGTCGTGTTCTCCTTCCCTTCTGTCTCTTAGGTGCTTAAGCTTCACCCTTGTTTAGCCCCTATTAAAGTGGCAGTGGACATGGGACGGGGCCCCACGGTGGAACTAAGACAGGTAGGTAAAGTGCATTTTTATGAATTATTTTAATTATTTTGATCATCATTCTGGTATAGTTAAAACTTTTATTTTGAGGGGTTAAAGGGATTGTCCCGGAGTTAAGGTGCCAGCCTTGAATGCAGCTGACTGGGGTTTGATCCTGGTCACCTCGTATGGTCTCCCAGGCCCCCAGGAGTGATCTCTGAGTACAAAGCCAGAGTAAGCTCCCAAGCACCTCCAGGTGTGGCCCCCAAACAAAATTAATTTTGATCTATCTGCTGTTTTTCCCTTAGGTGGGTGGGTGTGGGGTCCTCTCGTATTGTCTGCTCTGCCTTTGGCCTTTCTTCCTTGGCAGCTGGCATGGAGTATCTGTCCACGTCTCCATTTCCGGGCTGTGTGCTTCTGCGGTCACGCCCACAGGGCCGCCCACTGCGAGGAGCAGTTCCCTATTTCAGCCTCGCCTGCTGCTGGCTGCATTGTTTGTGCTCCGGCCAATGGCGTCAGGGTCCCCTTCCCGTGTCTTCAGCAGCACAGAATGTTTGTTTCTCCCTTCCTTCTTGCCTAAGATAAATTTTCTGCTGGTAACCACTAACTTCTTAAAACCTCTCTGTATGTTCACTTTTTTTTTTTTTTGGTGTGGCAGGGGTGGGGGGTGTCACACCCAATGTTGCTTAGGGCTTATTCCTGGCTCGGTGCTCATGGATCACTTCTAGATTGAACCCAGGTCAGCTGCATGCAAGGCAAGTGCCCTACCCTAGCACTCGTACTGTGGTAGCAACTCGTCCCATTTTACCTGTTTACTAACTGAATTGCTGTCTATATCAGGGATTCTCAAACTGTCAACTACCTTACCACCTCTTTTCTCTGCTGTGGCTTTTCCCTGGGAACTTAGAAGTGCAACTCCCTGGCCCCCGCCCCAGGCATGCTGTGCCTGTCGGGACGGGGCGTGAGGCCAAGCCCTGTGCCTTTCTGCCCTGTCTCAGGCGGTGCCAAGGCTGCAGTGTTTGTGCTCAAAGCAGAGCCACTCCGTCACAGGGAACGCTTGGCTTATGGCTGAGGCAGAGGGGGCGCAAGCGACTTCTAACGGAGGAGGAGGAGGTCAGGGATCTCTGCTCAGTGAGGGAGAGCCCAGAGTGAGTGGGCCTGGACACGCCTCCCTCAAGTTTACTGTGCGGCTGACTCATTATTTCCTGTCCGGCCTCTGCCTCCAACCTTTCGCTGAAACCAGTCGCCATCTCGTCCCCCTGAAACCTTTAACTCGTTAGCCGCAGGAAGGCGGCTCTCCTGCTTCTTGTCCTCCTGCAGCTGTCCCCTCAGTTTCCCTTTGGTTCCTCCTCTTCCTGGCGCGGTTGGGGTCTCTGCAGGCTCATGTCTCAGCTCTCAATTCAGATTGACCAGCCCTTTGGACATCTGCATTTTGGGTGTTGGTTGTTTTTAAGGTCACACCCAGTGGTGCTCAGGGACACTCCCAGCTCAGAGCTCAGGTATTGCTCCCGTAGTGGGGGACGTAGTGGGGGACGAAGGGGTGTGGACCATAAGGTACCAGGGATTGAACCCAGGCGTCCTGCAAGCAGAGCATGTGCTCTAGCTTGTTGAACTGTCTCCTTGATCCTGGACTTCTATTTTACTCCGGTTAAATCTGTTTTGGCTTTCTTTTTGTTTGTGTAAAATATGGTAAACTGGGACTCGAGCAGTAGTACAGCAGATAGGGCGCTTGCCTTGCACACAGGTCACCCAGGCATCCTATATGGTCCCTGAGCACCGCTGGAAGTAATTCCTGAGTGCAGGGCCAGGAGTAACCCCTGAGCATTGCCGGGTATAGTCCAAAACAAATAAAAAGAAAAGAAAGTAGAAAGTATGTTAAACAGCATTATCATATAATTAAGGAAATTATTTATCTACTTTTAAGATTAAGAAAATGAAAAAAAGTTAAAAATAGCATCACCACTCTAGCTACTTTTATTTCTTATTTGGAGCTTCTATGTCTTACCCTAGGTTTGCCAAGGGCTATTTAATGAATTACTGGAAAGTGGCATTTCTGTGTGGCCTGGTTATTTGGAAACTGCGCATTCCTCAATGGAGCAGCTTTATTCAAAGTAAGAAGTGACTTCTGTATTAACAGCAGCTAAAAAGTATATTCAGTTTTTGTTTACATGACGTTCCCCTTATGAGTAAGAAAATCTCTCAAATATAGATTATATAATTTGAAAATCAGTTTAAGCGGTAGGGCATTTGCCTTGCACATGGCCGGCCTGGCTGAGCCGGGTTTGATTCCTCCGCCCATCTCGGAGAGCCAGCGAGCTACGGAGAGTATCTCACCCACAAGGCAAAGCCTGGCAAGCTACCTGTGACATATTCAGTATGCCAAACACAATAACAACAAGTCTCACAATGGAGATGTTGCTGGATCTGCTTGAGCAAATCGATGAACAACGGGAGGATAGTGCAGTGCTAATAATTTGAAAATATCCCTAACTTTGCCCAAGTTAAGGCCACCATTTTCTCTTGCCTAGATTGCAGAAATAATCTAATTTTTTGTCTCTAGTCTTCCCCAGTCTTCTTCCTTTAACTTCTGCTTTTTTATATGAAGTAATATATTCTTCAGTCCTGTGAATTTTTTTTTAAAGTCTCATATTGAGTAACATTTTGTAGGTGAAGAATTGTGAAACTTTTTTCTTCAAGGAAGAACTAACATAGAAGAAAAATAAGGCGGGGAGGTTGTGTTGTTTTTTTGTTTGTTTTTCCACCTCTTGTTTTTGTTTTGTTTTTGAGGTGCTAAGGATTAAATTCATGGCCTCACACATGTAAGGCAAGTGCTAGACTGCTGATCCACATCCCTGCCCCTGGGAAAGAAAGGTTTTTGTAGGTAGAATAATGAATACTTTCATCAACTCTAAAATGAAGGGGGGGTATTGGAACTTTAAGACCTGTAGACCAGTGATTTCCGATTGTTGCTCTGTGGGTCAGTGCCAGTGTCCAGGCATAAAGATGTTGAAACTCCCCACTATAGACCTAAAACTAGCAGGTTAATTGTTCTTTCTGTGGTAGAGCTTTCATTGCCCCATGAGATATTGTTGGTTTTAAGGCCACACCTGATAGTGCTCGAGGCTTACTCCTGGCTCTGTGCTTTGAGGTCACTTCTGGTGGGGGGACCATATGTAGTACTGGTTTGGCGCATGCAAGATAAACTCCCTACCTCCTGTACTATTGCTCCAGCCCCTCCCCATAATATTTTTATTCAACTTTTTTTTTTGTTTTGGGGCCACACCCAGTGATGCAGTTACTCCTGGCTCTCCACTTAGGAATTACTCCTGACAGGCTCTGGGGACCATATGGGGTGCTAGGAGTTGAACCCAGGTCAGCTGCATGCAAGCCCTACCCACTGTGCTATCGCTCCGGCCCCTCAACATTTATTAAGCACCTAGTAGAGCTCACATACGTTGAGAAGCAGTAAACAAGACTGAAAGGCTTCTTGAGCTTAATAAGTTTAGAATCTAGTGGGACAAACTAGAGAATAAGCAGTAGATAAATAATTATGGTAGAGTCTAATTGAAAAAAAAAAGGGGGGCTGTGAGATTGTGTGAGTAGAGGAGAGGCCAGTGAGGATAAAGCCCATTCCTGCTAAACTAGAAACTCTTAAGTTAGCATGGTAGCACTGTCCTCCCGTTCATTGATTTGCTCGAGATGGAACCAGTTACATCTCCATTGTGAGATTTGTTGTTACTGTTTTTGGCATATGGAATATGCCACGGGGAGCTTGCCAGGCTCTGCTGTGCGCGCAGGATACTTTTGGTAGCTTGCCGGGCTCTTCGAGAGGGATGGAGGAATCAAACCTGGGTTGGCCCGTGCAGGCAGACGCCCTACCCGCTGTACTATCGCTCCAGTAAGTGAGGAACTTAAGGAACGTTTTAATTTCACTAAGAACATGAGAAGGGTTTGTTAGATTTTTTTTTTTTTTTGGTTACGCTCCCAAGCCTTGCCTTTGAGTTTTGTAATTCTGGAAAGGGCCATGAACTCTAAAGTAATTAGAACTGGGAATGTGGTGATTCATTATTCATATTTGTGTTCCTTTATTTTGTTTAACTCCTTTTCATCTCCCCCCAAGTTTTGATGGGGATATTGTTTTTTTGTTGAGCTATGTGAATGCTTCATGTGTCTTGGATTGTACCTCTTTTTTTTTTTTTAAATTTTTGGGTCACACTTAGCGACGCTCAGGGGTCACTCCTGGCTCTGCACTCAGGAATCATTCCTGATGGTGCTCAGGGGACCATATGGGATGCTGGGAATTGAACCCGGGTCGGCTGTGTGCAAGGCAAACGCCCTACCTGCTGTGCTATCATTCCAGCCCCCGGATTGTACCTCTTTCTGATAAAATTGATTGACCACTTTTTTCTTAGGTATGATGAAATGAGTATCCTCTTTACAGTCCTGATCACTGATGCAACTTTGGAGAATGGATTAATACATCTGCGAAGCAGAGACACTACCATGAAGGAAATGATGCATATTTCTAAAGTAAAGGACTTTTTAGTCAAATATATATCATCAGCTAAGAATGTATAGAACTTACTATGTATAATAAATATTCTCCTTTTCTAATTTTGTTGTCATATTTACTTCTTTTTTCAATTTTTTTTAACCCCTTAACTCGTATGAATCATTTTGATCCTCTTTTAATTTGGCCTTGATCAGTGCCTAGGTCAGCCATTCCATCTTCTTCCTTCATTAGAATACTTTTATGAAAAAATAAATCTCATCTACTATTTGCTTAGATGTACAGGAAAGCTGTAGACATATATGCTGAGTCCATCCACTTTAAAGTCTTGTTAAATCAAGAGGGGAAGTTAAGAGGTGAACGGGGAGTAACGGATAGGTGTCCAGGGCCTCAGGTACAGCAGTGGTGTCGAGGGGTGGTGTGTGTGTAAATACACACCACAGCGCCAGCACCCCTGAAAACATGAGATCCAAATTACAGCAACTCAATTTAAAAATATGTCTGTCAAGGGGGCAGATGAGGGGGTGGGAGGGAACCTGGGGACATTAGTAGAGGGAAATGGACACTGGTGGTGGGATTGGTGCAGGAGCAATGGATGCCTGAAACTCAATTCCAGATAATAACTATGTAAATCACAGTGCCTTAATTTAAAAAAAAAATTAAATTAAAAAATAAATTGCTCTTTTGACAGTTATTGTAGTTTTCAAAAAAATTTATTATCTAATATCTAGAGACTTTCTATTTCAGTTTCTCCCAAAAGCCCTTGGTCCCTTTACTGGAAAACTGTGTTTACTGGAAAACAGTGTTTACTGGAAAACAGAGACCATCCTCTGGGGATTGGGGCGGCTGAATTTAGAAAACAGCCTTTGTTTCTAGCCTTTGCAACATGAAAGCTAGCAAATACATGTGTTTTCCCTTATGCAAAAACGAAAACAAAACAAAACCATCATGGATTCACCACGAATATTTTGAATTCAAAATGAGCACTACAGCTTCACATGCTGGAGCCTCAGTTTCCATCCCTGGCACAGTCTGGTCGCCCCAGCACTGTGCTGGATTAGCCTCGACCATTGCTAGGTGTGACTCATACACTCAAATGACTGTAGCACTGTCCTCCTGTTGTTCGGGTACCTCGAATGACATCAACAAAAAATAAAACCAGAGCTACCTAAGGAGCATGTGTGTTAACCAAGAAAGCTCAAAGGGCTGATGATTTTTGAGCAGGAGCATGCTTACTTTACATGCATGAGTCCCGGGTTAGATCCTCAGCACTACATGGCCCCCTGAGCACCACCAGGAGCAAGCCTCAAGCAGTGCACTGGGAGTAGCTGGATGTGACCCAAAATAAATTAGGTTTGTTGAGATAGAATTATAATACATTTCTCCTTATTGTTGGAGGGCCACACCCAGTGATGCTTAGGGGTTACTCCTGGCTCTGCACTCAGGAATTGCTCCTGGCAACAGTGGAAATTTTTTTTTTTTTTTTGGCTTTTTGGGTCACACCTGACAATGCACAGGGGTTACTCTTGGCTCATGAACTCAGAAATTACTCCTGGCGGTGCTCAGGGAACCATATGTGATTGCTGGGAATCGAACCCGGGTTGGCCGTATGTAAGGCAAATACCCTACCCGATGTGCTATAACTCCAGCCCCAACACTGGAAATCTTAAGGCAATTTCAGACAGTGATTGTGGGGTAAAGGAAACAGAACAGGCTAGATCATGGCCGGGGTGGGTGGCTTTACTCAGGAAACCTGGAAGGTGTCACCTTGGAACTGAGACTATAAGATAGGAAGCAGCCAGCTATGTGACAGTCATGGCAGCCCACCCTGGGCTAATGAGAGTCACATGGTGTAGGAGGGAAAAGGCATGGAGTAATATGAGGTAGAAGAGCAGGCCGGAGGAGATGATGTGGGGAGCAGAAAGCAAAGGAAGGTAGAAGATGAAATCAGCAATGGTCAGGGCACTTGTCAATCAGAGCCAGGCCCACCCCCAGAAAGGTCTGTTTCCTTTCCCTGCCCAAGACAACTTAAAAATATGCGCAGCCCCTCCAAGGGTGTAGCTCTACTCCAGCCTCAACAGAGGTCGTAGAGTTCGCCCCAGAGCACACCCCAAATAAAATTCTATTTCTTCAGTTTATTTGTCTTTGTCCCTCTGCATCAGTCAGGGTCCCCAGATCCATCAAAATCATGTAAATAGTCAGTGGGGTTGCAGAGGAGGGAGGGAAGGTGGGAAGGAGGGGTACTTGGAGGGAAAGGTTGAGAAATACTGCTTTAGTGCACCAGACATGTGTCAGGATTCTAGAAGCCACCGGGGCAGGAGGGGACAGTTGAAGGGGCACAGGCTAGTTTTGAAAAGTTCACCATGGAGGTGGACTTAGCAGAGTCAAAAGGAAGCTTTGTCAAGAGGCTCCAGCAGTAGCTCCTGTGATGGGGGCCAGGACGGAAGCAGCAGCCCTTCGGCAGCATTGGGGCAGGTGCCAAACCCAGGGGCTCAGCCGAGCTGCACCTTCAGTGGTCCTACTCTGGCTCTCCTCTAAAGATACTCTGACATCTTTCTCCCGAGGATTGTCCAACCAGTGTCTGGAGATCATGGCAATCCCTTGGTTTCTGGGTCTCTGCATTCCTGCAGAGCTGGGGCTTCACACAGGCAGTCCAGGCTGCAGACCTTGTCTGTTGTTTTGTTGTTGTTGTTTTTCTATTTTTTTGTTGTTGTGGTTTTTATGTTGTTGTTGTTTTGGTCAGACCTGGTGGTACTCAGGGCATATGCCTGGCTCTGCACTCAGGGATCACTGCTGGTAGTGCTGGGGGAACCATATGCGATGCCGGGTCGACTGCGTGCAAGCCAAGGGCCCTGCCTGCTGTAGTATCTCTCCAGCCCCCTTGTCTGGTCTTTCTCACCCCTAAGTATATGTGCTACTGGAGACTTCTGATATGGAGGTGAAAGCCTCAAAGGAAAGGCTTTAGTGCGTGTCCCTCCAGGGTAGCAAAGGGAAAAGAAGGGGAAAAAAGCTGCCGGCTTCACCGTGAGACTGCGGAGGGCAAGTCTCTCCTTTTATCTGCAGCAAGAGCCGCTGTGAGCCTGCAAGCCCAGGAACTGGAGGGTCAAGGAGAGCAGGTCGGGCGCTTTCTTTACACACAGTTGACTCAGGTTTGACCCCCCGCACTCCATATGATCCTCTGGATCAACTCCAGGAGTGATCTCTGAGCACTCTCAGCCCTGAGCACTGCCAGGTGTGGCCCAAAATACAACAAAAATCAAGTGAGGGAATGTCAAATTTAGAGGGTTTTTTTTTTTCGGGGTGGGGGGGCGCGGGTGGCACAACTGACAGTGTCCAGGGATGTCCAAGGGCTGAATACTTCTGGCTCTGTGCTTGGGGGCTGCTCCTGCGAGGTGCCAGCAGTCAAACTGAGGCTCCCACAGGCCTGGGGTTCAGCCCTTCAAACTCAACATCTAAGTGCGGTTCTTGAGTTTTTATAATAGATTGGATAATCTATCTTCTCCCTGATTTAAAATGTCATAGAGCCTGAGAGATAGTACAGGGGGTAAGATGCTTCCCTTCTGTCTAACTGATCCAGCCAGAGAGAGCACAGCAGGCAGGGCATTTGCCTTGCGTACAGCTGAGCCAGATTCTATCCCCAGCATCCCAGATGGTCCCCCAAGCTCACCAGGAGTGATTTCTGAGTTCAGTCCAGAGTAGCACTTCTGGATGTGACCCAAAACCAAAACACAACAAAAATAAACCCAGCTGATCCTGGTCTGATCTCTGACACCACACGCTTCTAATTCTCCTGAGCACCATTAGGAGTCAGTCCTGATCAAAGAGCCAGGAATAGGTCCTGAGAACCTTTGGATGTGGCCCAACCTCCCTCTCCCACTCCCCCCCAAAAAAATGTCAAGCTAAATTTCCACTTATATTTAGATAAATCTATAGGATAGAGAAATAGCTGTATCTTGACTTTTTTTTTTTTTTGCTTTTTGGGTCACACCCAGCAATGCTCAGGGGTCACTCCTGGCTCTGCACTCAGGAATTACTCCCGGCGGTGCTTGGGGGACCATATAGGATGCCAGGGATCGAACCTGGACTGGCCACATGCAAGGCAAATGGCCTACCCACTGTATTATATCACTCTAGCCCTGTAGTATGATAGCTATTTTGATCACCTCTTATGTATTTATTTATTTTGGTTTTAAGGTCACACTCAGCAGTGCTCAGAGCTTAGGTTCAGGGGTCACTTCTGATGGTGCTCAGAACCATGTGTTGTTCCAGGGCTTGAACCCAGGTCTGCCGCATGCAAGCCAAGTGCCCTGCTTGGGGTTGAGCTGGCGATGACCGCGCCTCCAAGTTCAGTATGTCCAAGACTGACTCCACTCAGAGGACACAGGGATGAATAGAGTTTTGGAGTACTTAGTATGTGTATGGGCCTGGACCATCACCTGCATTTCCTTCTCCCAGCAACTCTCAAATGTAGCTTCTCTACCTTGCCCCTCCCCTCTTCCACTCTCACGGAAGCCCAGAGAGGTTAACTTATTCCAGAGTCACACAGCGAGGAGGTGTGATAATACAGAAGGTATGGTGTTTGCCTTGCATGTAGCTGTTCTGGGTTCAGCCCCCGGCATTCCATTCCAGACCCTGGTCAGGAATGATCCCTGAATGATAATTTTTATAAAATATCTCCCCTAGGGGCTGTAGCGATAGCACAACGCGTAGGGTATTTGCCCTGCATGCGGCTGACCCAGGTTCGATTCCCAGCATCCCATATGGTCCCCTGAGCACTGCCAGGAGTAATTCCTGAATGCAGAGCCAGGAGTAACCGCTGTGCATTGCCAGGTGTGACCCAAAAAGCAAAAAAAAAAAAAAATCTCCCCTAAATAAAAATACCAGGGGCAAGTACAATAGTACAACAGGTAGGGTGCTTACCTTGTTTGCTGCTGACCCAGGTTCGAGCTCAGCATCCCTAATGGTCTCCTAAGCTGCGCCAGGAATAATTCCTGAGTGCAGAGCCAGGAGTAAGTTCTGAGTATCACCTGTGTGGCCCTCCCCCACCACCACCACCCACGAAATTTAAAAATCAGCAGTGAAAGAGAAAACATTTTACTCCTAAATTGTTGGGGTTTTTTGTTTGTTTGTTTTTGCTTTTGGGGTCACACCCAGCGATGTTCAGGGGTCACTCCTGGATTTGCACTCAGGTATCAGTCCTGGCGGTGCTGGGGGACCATATGGGATGCCGGGAATTGAACCTGGGCTGGCCGCATGCAAAGCAAACACCCTCCCCACTGTACCATCACTCCAGCCCCAGTGTTATTTTTTAGACAGCAAAATCCTCAAACTCTTCTGGATCTGTATATGCAATCCCTCATCCCACCACACACTCTTCCTGGCCAGGATTTAACTGACTTCAATCACTACCAAGCTGGGGTGACCTCCGGAAATGACTTGTGCTAGCCGAGTCAGAACTCCCTTACCTATAAAACTAAATTAATAATATTGACTTGGAGTTTGCAGCAGAATCAATGTCTAATAACTATGATTAGATGCTGTGATAGCTAGGAATTGCCTAGTCAGAGTTCCCTTGTTGGGAACAATTAAGTTGGGTTCAGACACTCCCCCCAAAGAATAGAGCAGAAAATTAGGGTCAAGTTTTCTTAGTCCCACTACTTAGAGCCTGGAACCTCTGTGTGTCTCCTTATTTGGAAAAGGGTCTATGCATAAGGGTCTATGCAGTTGTCAGGAAGGGTCTCTCGGGGAGGATCTCTCAGGGAGATGATCTTAGATTAATGGGTGGTTCTGGGAGCTGGAGCCATAGCACAACAGGAAGGGGCACTTGCCTTGCATGCGGCTAACTAGGATTTGATCCCTGACATCCCATGTGATTCCCTGAGCACTGTCAGCAATAATTCCTGAATGCAGAGCTAGGAGAAGCCCTGAGCATCACCGGTGTGGCCCCCAAACAAACAACAACTGTGTCTGAATGATTGGCAGAACAGAAGGCGTCTGGGGACAGAGGGACGTCAGTCATGTGATCCAGGCCCAGGAGTACTGCAAACAGCAGAAGCAGAAGAGCCAGCAGGAATTCTCTCCCAACGGCTTGGGAGCAAACACAGTCCCCATTGACATCTTTCTTTTGGTCACACCTGGCCATGCTCAGGGGTTACTCCTGGCAGTGCATGGGTGGACCGAAGTCAAGAATCAAACCTGGGTCAGCCACATGCAAGACACCTACCCACTGTGCTATCACTCCGTCCCCCAGCCCCCTGCCACTGACATCTTGATTTGGGATTTCCAGCCTCCAGAACGATGGGGAAATAAGTGCCTGTTGTTTTAAGCCACTGCCTCTGGTGATCTGTCATAAGGACCCTTGGGAGGAATATATTCTCCCGTCTTCCCCACCAGCAGCTCTGGGCACCCTTATCCCCAAAAGCCGAAGGGCAAGGTGGCTCACTGAGGCAGGCCTTTGACATGAGCAAAATCTTCAGGACCAGCAAGGCCAAGAAAGTTAGAACCAAATTTGAGAGCAAATGTAACGGGCATGGCTGATGGACAAGGGTGTTAAATGATCCAACCCTTGACTGCAGACTGTCATCTTCCCAGCATGTCATTGTTTTAGAAGTTAGACAAGATATTTGCTTTTGAACCTTAAAAATAGGAGATTCAATGATAGTTGGCAAGTTTCTAGAAAGATGAGCCCTGGAGTCTAATGACTGTTTTTTCTTTTTCCTTTTTTTTTGGGGGGGGGGGGGTTCACACCCAGCAATGCTTAGAGGTTACTCCTGGCTTTGCACTAAGGAGTTACTCTGGGCGGTGCTTGGGGGACCATATGGGAAGCCAGGGATCGAACCCTGGTCGGCCGCGTGCAAGGAAAACACCCTATCCACTGTACTATCGCTTCGGCCTCTGTTTTTCCTTTGTGTTTTGGGTCATATCTGGTGGTGCTCAGGGTTTACTCCTTGCTCAGTGCTCAGGGATGATCATTGACAGTACTCAGGGAATTGTATGCACTGCCAATGGCTAGAACCCAAGGGAACCATGTGCAAGGCAAGCACCTTCCCCCCCCCCCCCCGTGCTATCTCTCCAGCCCCACAATCATTCATTTTAAATGATGCGTCTATTCGGCCAGTGAAATAACTCAAAGGGCTGAACACTTGCTTTGCATGTGAGAGACTCAGGTTTAATGCTCAGCACCACGCGGTACTCTGAGCATCACTGGAAGCAACCTCTAGCACTGAACCAGGAGTAACCCCCAGCATCATGAAGAGAGACAACAAAACCAAACCAAAAGAGATCTGTGAGCATGGGGAGAATTCCCCCTGGCCTAAAAATAGCAAGAGCATGATTGGAAGCACAACCTGCCCATCAGGATCCCTCCCATCCAGCCTTTGGGCTGATGACAGGACTGGGCAACCCCCAGTGGGCCTGAGGGATGGAGCCGCGGTGATTCACTGCAGCACTCCACAGAGAGGTTTGCCAGTCACGTTTGCTTTTTTCTTCATGTAAAACAGTTTTTCAAAAAGCATCTTTCCTGTGATTTAATTTGTATCCTTAAATTTTACAAGATGAGGTCAGAATAGACATGGTCAGTCGTACAAGGATCACCATCTGAAAAATAAAGAGATTATTCAAGAAGCTTTGGAAATACGGCCACAGACACTCGAGAACACCTTATTCCTTACCAGCCCAATCAGCCTCACAGTGCCATGCCTTCTGTTTTCTCTTGGTTTGGTGGCCAAGCCCTGGCTGCTTGGGAATTGGGGGAATCAGGTGATGCCCAAGCAATGCTGAGGTTGGAATCCAAGGATCCTCCGTGCAAAACATGTCCAGCCTTTGAGCATCTCTGCAGCTGTGACCACTCCAAGTTTTAACTAGATTTTTTTTAATGGGAGGGAGGCTTTTTGGGTCACATCCGGTGATGCTCAGGGGTTACTCCTGGCTCTGCACTCAGTAACTGCTACTAGCAGTGCTCAGGGGACCATATGGGAGGCTGGGAAATGAACCCAGGACAGCCCTGTGCAAGGTAAATGCCCTACCCACTTTACTATCATCTGGGTCCAGCATTAACTAGGTTTGCCTGGGCACTGTTAAAGGATTTCTTCTCCAGGAAGTTTTAGAAGTGCAGCCTCCTGTCTGGATTATTCCCCTGACCCTCTGCAGTATAGGTGGGAGCGATGGGGCTGACTGGTTTCCTGGGGTGTGCACGGGACGCCCCTGCCCATCTCTGAACCCCCAAAGTGCCAGCATCTCCCATCCAGAGCTCTTATCCCCCCCATCTGTGACTCACTACGGCCTCCAGGTGCCACGTCTGGGAACAGGGGGGTGGCGTAGTGTATCTCCTGGGCGGGTCCAGTCTCTGGGCAAGAGATAAGGCACACGGTTACTGGGCCTCCAATCTACATCTCTGCTCATTGCAGAGCAGCGGCTTGGCCAGCGACTCCCACTGCCAGGGTCAGGGAGCACCTACCTTCTTCAGCTGTAGGTACACACGGCTTCGGTCCTGAGCCTGGCCCAGGTCCTGCCTCTGTGAAAAAAGGAACCAGGTGAACTGGGTTAGTGGCGCTGGCGTGGGTCCATTGTTCTTGGGTGTGCCCGGACCGGGCTCAGTCAACAGCATCTGTTTGTTCTCTTGTGAGCCCAACCCTGGCCTGTTTACCACAACTCGGCCTGTGGCACCTGTTTTAGGGCTTGAGAGGGAACACAGTGAATGAGGGAAACTGCAGCTGTGTTACTCTTTGAACGCAATCAAGAGTTGGTGGCCGCCACCTGTGTAGGTCCTTGGTGTCCACCCTATACAGTGGCTTCCTTCTCCAGTCCACCTTGAACATGGGGCTCACCTACCGAGATGTTTTGTTCCTTATTTCCACCCAGGAGAAGCCTGTGTTCTCTCTTGAACACACACTTCTCCCTCACCTCACATCTTTTTAATAAGTTTCAGTAAAAACTATCTTGCTTCAACCAAAAATTTTTTTTAAAATGGGGGGAAAGATTTACCAAAGGCTGTACATCTCTTTTTAAGGGTGATTTACCAGTCACCCCTGGGAGAAAAAAGGACTAAGCATCAGGGGTGGGAGATATTATCCTCTCTCCCTCTCTCATTCTCTCTCTCTCTCTCTCTCTCTCTCTCTCTCTCTCTCTCTCTCTCTCTCTCTCTCTCTCTCTCTCTCTCTGTGGGGGCACATCTAGCCATGCTCAGGCCTTCCTCCTGGCTCTGTACTCAGAGACCACCCCATCACTCCTTGTGGGGCTCGGAAGATCTTGGGGTGTCAAGAACTGGGGCCAGGGTCAGACAGGTACACGGCAAACACCCGCTGTACTATCTGTCCAGCCCCCTTTCCTTCCTCTTATTTGACCCAGGTGTCTGATGGTCTGAAAAACAACCAAATGCTATGCCTAACCCAAATGCCCCGAGTCTCTTTTACCTGCTTGCTTTTTCTTGACAGTTGTGTAGATCACATCTTCCTTTGGTTTGTCTTCACAGACCCTCAGAGCATTTTCTTTCATAGCTTTCCCTGTATCCATTGGTGTAGAATCATTAAGTCAGTTAAATTGAATTGCAGTTTTTCTTCATTTCCTCTGCCCAGGAGCAAACCCCCACCCCTCTGCCACACACACACACACACACACACACACACACACACACACACAAGTCCTGACACTACGTGATTCCTGGCCTAGCCCTCTGGGGAGGGAAGCACCAAGATTCAGCTGGGGTGCAGCAGCCACCTGCTTCATCACGAGAATTGAGTGTTCTGGCCCTGTGAGAGCCCCTTTTGCACATCAGCTGGCCTGAGATCACGTGATCCTCTTTCTCATCATGGCTAAAAAGAGCAGCCTGTGAAGCGCTTTGTAACACCATGAGCTAGCTGCATTCTCTGTAGTGCTGACCACACTCAAGAGCTCCACTAAAAGAAAAATATTGGGAGTATGGTGCTGCCAGTAAGTCAACCTGTACCTGTGGGGCGAGTGCATCAAGTAGCCTGATGGTGCCTTCAGACTTCCAAAACAGCCCAATTGCTGCTGTGCCTTTGGACAGACCCCAACAACTTGGGGCCAAGTTTACCAAGAAATTCACTGTACCACTGTCATCCCGTTGTTTATCGATTTCCTCGAGCAGGCACCAGTAACGTCTCCTTCGTCCTAGCCCTGAAATTTTAGAAAGTGCCACATTCGAGGCTCTTTCAGGGTCAGGAAAATGAGACCCATCATTGTTACTGGGTTTTGGCATATCGAATACACCACGGGGAGTTTGCCAGACTCTGCCGTGCAGGCAGGATACTCTCGGTAGCCTGCTCGGTTCTCCAAGAGTAAGAACTAGATAATAAGAGGTCGCGCGTCTGCAAATGCGGTTGCATGCTTCCGGGAGCTGGGTTTTATAATCTCTGGGTCTTGGCCATTGATGGGATAAAATGGCAAGAAATTAAATGGCCAAAAGTTAGCTATGTGGGAGCCACACCCACAAATCACCTCCTGCTCTGGCTCAACTACATAATCTTACTTATTGGCCTTATTTTAGAGACCTATAAATCTTGAAAGAGATCAAAAGACGCAGTTAGGGCCTGTAGTGCAGAGGTAGGCAGGAACCCATGACTGAGAACTCCAGGCCTGCTTGGATCAGAACTGGGCCTCCTCCCCCCAGGTCCCCAATTTTCCAGAAGCTTGGCAGTCACGCGCATGAATTGCCCCTGGCGCCATGTGATCTCATCAACGGCCAAGACCCAGAGACTAAAAACTGAAGTTCCCGGAAGAGAACAACACACAATTTCCTAGACATTATATTCTGTCCATAATAACCAATACAAAACAAATCCTCTAGCATTGCCTTTTTTGGCAGGTTTGAGTGGTGGTGAGACTAATGTCAAAATAGTGAATGTAACCAAAGTAGAGAGAGAGTATGGAGGAAATTGTCTCCACACATTCAGGGGAAGGTTGGAACGGGGGTGGGGGTGGGAGAATACTGAGGATTTTGTTGGTGGAAAATGTGCACTGGTGAAGGGATGGGTGTTTGATGATTGTATGACCGAAGCTCTAACATGAAAGCTTTGTAACTGTATCTCACAGTGAATCAAAAAAAAGGGATGGGAGGGGAAATAATAATAAAATAGCACTGTAGCACTATCCTCCCATTGTTCATCAATTTGCTTGAGCAGGCACCAGTAACGTCTTCATTGTGAGACTTGTTGTTACTGTTTTTGGCATATTGAAAAAGCTACGGGGAGCTTGCCAGGCTTTGCCGTGTGGGCGGGATACTCTTGGTAGCTTGCCAGACTCTCCTAGAGGGGCGGAGGAATCGAACCTGGGTTGGTTGTGTGCAAGGTAAACACCCTACCTGCTGTGCTATCGCTCCAGTCCAATAATAAAATAATAAAAGAATTAGCATTCTGAATAAAAAAAGAAAAAGTAATGTGGAGTTCATGCCCAATTCAATCAGCTTAATCATTGACTGAATAAATAGCAGTACTCCTACATTTAAAAAAAAAAAGAAGAAGAAGAAGAAAGAAAAATATTTTTAGGGGCTAGAGAGATAGTACAGTGGGTAGAGTGCTTGACCAGATTTAGTCCCCAGACCCCATATGATCTCCTGAGTCTTTCCCTGAGCTCAGAACCAGCAGTAATTCCTGAACACAGGCGCATATGACCTGCCCCCTCAAATTTTTTATTTTGGGGCCAGAGCTATAGTGGGAGCATTGGTGGCTGAGACCGCTGATGGCTGCTGTGCAACGCACAAAGCATGTATCTGCCTACATCAGTCTCTGTGCTTGGACAGGCCTCCCCTTTCCATCAAGAATAGAAAAATCTTCTGCCCTCATGAGGGAGAGTCGGGGAGATGACCCAAAGGGCGGAAACGCATGTTTGCATGTGGACTTGCAGAGTCCATCCCTAAATTGCCTGTTCCTCTGAGCACCCCCCAGAGGTGGGCCCAGAAAATAAATAAGTTATGATACATACACACATGCATGCATGTGCACGCACACATACACACACACACACGCACACATGCACGCAAGCACACATGCATGCATGCACATGCACACACGCACACACACATTTGCACATGCACACAAACGCATGTGCACGCACACATGCACACACGCATGCATGCACGTGTACACACACAGCCTTGCACACATGCACACATGAAATGAAGGAAACTCAGATGTACCTACAACCTGAATGAGGACATTTTGGAATGGTAGCCTGTAGGTAAGGACAGATACAAGCCCACTTTTCAGAGCTGTCTTGAGGGGCATAATTCCCGGAGGGGGGAAGGGGAAAGAAATTTTGGCTTCCCAGGATAGAAACTATTTTGTGGGTGAGGGAGAGTGTCTGAATGCCGCTAAGCAGTCTCAGAAGGCAAATATTACTACGCAAGGTAAGGTTCACTTCAGAGGAAGGAAAGGGGGTCAAAGAGACAGGACGGCAGGCTGGGCACTGGCCTTGCATCTGGCACACCCGGTTCCATCCCCGGCACCCCATATGGTCCCCTGAACACTGCCTGGAGTGAGCCCGGAGCACTTCCAGGTGTGGCCCCCAAATCACGGTCCGGTCCTCCCGCTGTTCATCGATTTGTTCGAGCAGGCGCAGTAACGTCTCCATCATGAGACTTTGTTGTTACTGTGTTTGGCATATCGAGTACGTCACGGGTAGCTTGCCAGGCTCTGCCGTGCAGGCGCGATACTCTCAGTAGCTTGCCGGGCTCTCCGAGAGGGGCGGAGGAATCAAACTCGGGTTGGCCATGTTGGCCACTTGTAAGGCAAATGCCCTACCGCTGTGCTATCGCTCCAGCCCGGCCCCCAAATCAAAAGATAAAAATAAAATAAAAAGGGGCTGGAGTGATAGAACAGCAGGGAGGGTGCTTGCCTTGCATGTGGCCAATCCAGGTTCAATCCCCGACATCCCATAGGGTCCCCTGAGCACCTTTAGGAGTAATTCCTGAACCAGGAGTAACTTCTAAGCATTGCTGGGTATGATACAAAAAGCAAACAAATAAAAATAAATTTAAAAATAAAAAGGGATTAAAAGAAAGCAGCAAGACTGTCAGGACAGTAGAGCGTTGAACCAAATGTGGGCTCTTGGCTCAGACCCTGAGCGCTCTAAGGCCAAAAGACTGTTTTTGGAGAACAGAACTAGCGTCTGCCGGCTGCCTAAACTCCAACAACTCCCTGGGGCTGCCTCTCCCCTCTCCTCCCATTCTCTCCCCTTTGGATCCTGCCACTCTTTATCTTTCTCAGTCCACCTGCTGGGTCTGTGTCATGGAGAAGGTTTTCAAAGGACTCACGTGCTTTGTACTTGCATAGAATCCAGAACACCAGGGTCAGGATCACTGCTAGGAGCACCAGCAGCATGGCGGGAAGCAGGAGCTTCAGGCAGAGAGGACATGGGACATCGTCTGGAAGAAGACAGATCCACAGTCACTAATGCTTTTGCTCCGTCAGACATGGGGAAGGGGACCTGAGAAGGACAACTGTGACGGTTGCCCAGGCACCCAGGCAGCACCTGCTATTCTGAGAGGCCAATGACAGTGCCATTTCCATGCAGGGTACCGGGATTTGAACTCACAGCCTGTGTGTGAAGGTCTAGTCTAGTGTGTGGTCCACAGGGATCTTACACAGAAGGGAAACGCAGTGTGGCACTTAAAGGGCCCATGACTGGCAATATTGTTAAGGTCTTGAATCCCAGAACGTAAACTCCAGAAATGCTGGGCAAAGTCCTGAGTCAGAGCCCTTGGCCTGATTTATGTAATCAAACAGCTTCCATTTGCTGAGTATTGACTACATACCAGGCACTATTGTTTTTGCGGTGGGGAGGAGGGAAGGAGGGGAGTGAGTGGGGTGCACATCTGACGATAAAGGCTATTCCAGGTGGCACTCAGGGGACCATATGGGATGCCAGGGATCAAACCCAGGTCAGTCACATGCAAGGCAAGCACCCTACCCGCTGTACTATCTCTCCGGCCCATGTATACCAGACACTCTGAAGTACTTTATGTGTGTTATCTTATTTCTCTCCTTGGTGTCACTACCAGTTTTACAACTGAATGGAGTAAGACCTGATGAAGTTAAGTGATTTTCCTAAGAGCAGACAGCTAGTAACTATAAGGGTGATTGTTAAGCCAAAGCCTGACCCTGGGGCCTTGCATGTTAGAACCAGAACGCAGGCTGGCAGAGCATTTGCAAGCCAGAAATTCATTGCCTTTCCTCACCTTAGTTTTCCCCCTCAGCTTCTAGTTGAACAAAGTTTCTTCATAAAGCTGTGCAGGGGGGTCGGAGCCATACATAGCACAGCAGGAAGGTCTTTGCCTTACATGTGGCTGACCCAGGTTTGATCCCGGGCACGCGTATGGTTCCCCAAGCATTGCCAGGAGTAACCCCTGAGCATCATGGGGAGTGGCCCAAAAGCCGAAATAAAACTAAAAAATAAAGCTGTGCAGGGCGGTTTAAATTTAGAATTTTCAGACTCTTCAGAGGCCTGTGTGGGAGTGTGGTTGCATGGGGGGATGCAATGTCCAGCACCCGCCTGCCCGCCTTCCCTCCCCAGCTCTCACCCGTAGCCTTAATCACACGTGCTCCAGCCCGCCAAGCTAGAGCCTACTGAGCTAACTCTCTGACCCAAATTTTTTTAAATAAATTAGTCATTCATTTTATTGTAGTAAGAACATTTAGCAGGAGATCTCTTTTTTTTTTTCCTTTTTGGGTCACACCTGGCGATACACAGGGGTTACTCCTGGCTCTGCACTCAGGAATTACCCCTGGCAGTGCTCAGGGGACCATATGGGATGCTGGGACTCAGATGCATGCAAGACAAATGCCCTACCCGCTGTGCTATTGCTCCAACCCTGAGATCTCCCTTTTTAAAATCTGAAGTGTGAAGTACAGTACTGTTAGCTTTGGGCATGGTATGATACAGCCAATTTCTAAAACTTCCTCATCTTACAGTTTGCCAAAACCATAAAATCAGACCTCTAGCCATTGAACAACAACTCCTATTTCTCCACCTCTCAAGCCCGTCCACATTTCCCCAGTTCAGTAAGTGTCACGACAGTTGCCTTATTAAGATGGTTATAAAACTAAAGAAGCTAAGGGCCATTGATTTAAAGAAGAGGCCTACAATACAGGGTTCCATCTCAGCACAACGCTCTGTATCTGCGTTGTTTAACACACCAGCCACCAGCTGAGAACTTGAAATTTGACCAATGAGACTGAGATGCTGATTTTTTTCTTTCAACTATTTTTTTTTTGGGGGGGGGAGGGTTGGCCACACCTAGCAGTGCTCAGGGCTTGATACTCACCTGCAACCTTTGGGAAAGTGACTGAGAACACGTTCTAAAACACCGGATTGGGATGCAGCGCTTGAAGGTAAGGGGAATAAATGGGTGGGCAGGGCAGCAATTGCAGTTTAGGAAGCAAATCCAGAGCCTGGGGAAGGTTCTGGGCCCTTGCCTGTTGAGTTTTATCGTAAGAAACACATTGGGGGCCAGGAATGGAACTCAGTGATAGAGACATTCCTGGCATGTTAAGTCCTTGGGTTCCATCCCCGGTGCCAGAAAAAAAGTGGGGAGACGGGGAGAAGAAATATTGTTCTTTGGTTTTTTTGTTTGTCTTCTTGGGGGCTATGCCCAGCAGTACTCAGGAGTGATATGAAACCTGGTGTTCCTGACAGCTCGGTGTTTGGCAGACCGTGTGCTGATGGGAATGGTTAGGTGTGGTGGGATGGAAGATGGGAGAGAGAAGTACAGAGATAATAACGAGGGGACTGTGCAGGGAGAGGGCTGGTCAGTGGGTGCCTGGTGGGGGCAAAGAGAAGACGAGAGGGAAAGCCTGGGGCTTTGAACCCCTTGGCTCTGGTACCAACGTTGATTCTAAGACATCTTATTTGACTCTTCCAAGAAAAAGTCATTTTTACTTTATTTATTTTTTGCTCTTTGGGTCACATCTGGCAATACTCAGGGGTTATTTCCAGCTCTGCAGTCAGGAATTACCCCTGGTGGTGCTTGAGGACCAGATGGGATGCCGGGGATCAAACCTGGGTTGGCCGCATGCAAGGCAAATGCCCTACCTGCCATGCTATCATTCTGGCTCTGAAAAAGTCATTTTAAACTCCACTAGTGAAACATCTAGAGAAGATCTCGATGATTTCTTCAAGTCATTGATGAAAGATTTTGGGTTTAAGGCAATCAGCCTGCTTTCTGAAATCACACCATGTTTGCAAGAGATAGTGCTAAGGCGTTATAAAGTTCAGGATCTCAGTGAGATCCTCTCCAGGGGAACCAAGAGTGTCAGAGCAGACGAGGAAAGAACCCCCATCAGAAGGGCCTTTCGGACATAAGGACTCCCCACTTACCTACAAGTGTGAAGTTGAATGAGTTACTGTATTTTGCAGAGCTGAGATTTGAGATTTGGGCTTTGCACTTGTAGGGGCCCAAGTCACTGGCAGTAGAGATGGAGATATTAAACGTGGTGTTTTTCTCTGCTGTCTTACGGGCTTTCAAATGTGTATTCAAAAACAATGAATAGTTGATCTTCAATGACGTGTTTTGGTGACTTTCCAAAGTGAACACACAAGACAGATTCACTTGTTGGCCCTTCCTGACCTCCTTCTTTGCGGTCAAATGCAGAGAAGCAATGTATTCTGGAAAACAAAATCAGCAAAAGCTGCTCACCTCCCTCCACGAGAACTCAGTGGTTATGGGGTCATCTTTTGGGGCTCAGGAGGTAGAGAAAGACATTGTCCTGGGGAACTTCCTAGGAAGAGAGGCCTTTTTTGCCCCACAGCCCACCCACATGGGCTACCTTTAGGGCAGATTACTCACTCTTATGTGCTCACTTCCTCTCCTGCTGTATTCCCTCTCTCTCTTTATAAGAGCTTCCCCAACAGTGCTCAGGAGCATCAGACATATACCCCATGGTGCCGGTATGTGGGGCAGGGTGGCCATACAGTGCTGGGGATCAAACTTGGGGCCTCTGCATACCAGGAAGGCCTTCCAGCCCATGAAGCCATCTGTCTGGCCCCAGGGGAGTCTCCTAAGACTAACTCTGCATTCACTTCCATCTCTGGCACTGACTGCATGTTCTTCAAAGCCCCTGAGTCACCACTGGATGTGACCCAAGAAAACCTAAACAAAACAAAATAAGAAAAACAAAAAGAAAAGAAAATAAAAGGCTGGCAAGGCTGAATTAGAAAGATTAAAGTTCTAGGATCTGTGGTCAAATATTGTGTTTGGAACTTTCTTTCTTTCTTTCCTTTTTTCTTCCCTTCTTTCCCTCTCATTATTTCTTCCTTTCCTACTTGTGGTACCTGACGGGCTCAGGGATAACTCCTGACAAGGCTTAGAAGACCAGATGAGGTGCTGGGGATAGAACCGAAGTTGTCCACATATAAGGTAAGTACTTTGTCCCTGTACTCTCTCTCCAGTGCCCATTATATATTTATCTGTTTATTTATGGGTTTGGGGTCACATCTGGCAGTGCTCAGGGCTCTCTCCTGGCTCTGTGCCCAGGGATCGCCCCTGGTTCTGCACTCAGGGATTAGTCCTGGCAGGTTCAGGAGACCATATGGGGCGTCAGAGATTAAGCCTGGATTGGCTACATGCAAGGCAAGTACCCTACACGCTGTACTGTCACTCTGGCCCCTTTTATTTTTAAGTTTTTTATTTTATCAAATTCCAAACATGGTGGCTTGGAGTGATAGTACAGAGGGTAGGATGTTTGCCTTGCACATGGCCGACACAGGTTCAATTCCTGGTGTCCCATATGGTCCCCCAAGCACTGCCAGGAGTAGTTCCTGAGCTCAAAGCCGGGAGTAACCCCTGAGCATTTCTGGGTGTGACCTAAAAAGCAAAAAAAAAAAAAAAATCCAAACATGGTGGTAAAAAAGTGTCTCTCATGGTCCCCCAGCTTCAGTAATGATCTGCTCATGGCCTCTCACTTCCTTTGACCCCACCTTGCTGTCATGTAAGAGCAAATCCCAGAACACACATTCAACCAGAAATGTCAGTCTTGAGGGAGAGAAGAGCAGCCCAATGGTGGGACCGGTCAGTCACAGAGAGAACGCCAGTCCTGGACCAGACCACCCCGATGACCAGGCCGCACGCACAGAGGGAAAACCAAGACAACAGCAAGCAGCCTGATGAATGACCGCTCTGAGCCTCCTGCTGCTTCTCTCTCTCTCCTTCTCTCTTCCTTTCTTCCTATCCAAAACTGCAGAACCCAGGATCAAAATCTGCAGCATCCGGACTTCAGCCCTGTCAAGCGATCTCACAGACCAACTGACTTTTACCAGCTAGATCTCTAGCCTTGTTCTGTTCTTGCCTTTAGGTAAGAAATCTCAGTAAAGGTAAAGGTAAAGGCCCTCCCGTTGATCGTAGATTTGCTCGAGCGGACCCAGTAACGT